ATTGTTCGAATCGAAAGTGATTATCGATAAATCATCAGGACGATAATGGTCGGATACTTCCTCAATCGGCCAGACGTTTACACAATGAAAGTAAGAGTTAGTTTTTTGTAACAGGTGCGAAGAGGCTCTACACTCGAGTGGCAATTTGCAAACTGTTTGCTTTCTTATACGGAGGCGGGATAACTTTTGTCTGAATAAAAAGAAAACCAATTCAATTTTTAGCCCAGGCAGTAATTTTTATTGTTAATTGTTAAAATTGGTTATAAGAAATATTATTATGTTTGTCAGTGTCCGAAAAGTCCGACATCAGTCTCACTAAGTTTAAAAGAGATTAATATTAAGTAATCTGAACACATTAAGATGACGCAAGTATCGAGTAAAAGCTTGGTCCTTGATTTTACACCGCATTTAACAAATGATGTTCATCATAAATGTTTCACTTTTTATTACTCCATAGACACACGATCCTCTTTTGCAGCAATCGATTCTTTTTATGCAGCAATCTATTTCGCATCGTTGGATTAAGTTACCGTCGTCTTTTTTTATCAATTATTGTTGAGCTTACTTTGATACCTATTTTGTGACTAGTAAAGAGACACTAATTATTAAAAATAATGTAGCGTAGTGTTGTTTACTTGATCAAAAAATTGCTTTACGATCTCATTAAATTATGGCAAAAGGGAAAAAATAAGGGAAAAATATTTTTGAAATTTTCTCTCTGAGGTTTCTTATACTCACAAATTATTACTTATTTCTATTTAATCACAAATGTGACTCCTTATTTCTAAAACGATGCAATTGAGAAATTGTAATCCATCTCGAATGCGGAGACTGCGAAGTTAGGGTTCAGTTCGTAACCCACTGTTGATATTTCCGATAAATAATAAACGTAAATGATTAAAATTACATATTAAACAATCAAATATGGCCGAGGAATTGGTCAAAAACATAACTACGATGTGAACTTTCACTATGTTTTAAAAATATAACTCAAGCATTGATTGTTAATTATGGTATTAATATTTAAAACAAAAATATTTGAATAAATCATCATTTGTGTGACTATTTTCAACGCCGAAGAAAAATATAAAAATTGTAGATATCTCTAATCTAAAACACTCAATTTTGCACTGATCTGGAGTGGGCAAAGCGCGACTTAAAGACTTCAGTTTCGTTAAAAACTGCCGCTAGCCTCTTCGCGTGTTTCCGGTTTTTTCTTCCGCAGGGTCAATTAGTCAAAATTTGTGTTCCTTTTTAGTGTTCTAACTAAATCCCAAGGACTTATTATCATTTAATTGCATCGACGAGTGCAAAATCAAGTGGGGAAAAAAGCTTTCGTTGAAAATTATCGCCCGTCGACTAGAAAATTGTTGGCGTCGTTTGTAATTCGACCACACGATTGTGTGTAATTTCTCAATTTTATGGTCGATTACGTTTTTATAGAAAAAAAAGTTAATCGGCGCGGCCAATTCAATTTTGCAGATGCGTTAACTCGAGTGTGTCATCGAATAAACCTCGAAACGTTAATCCGATACGAATGTCCGGTACCGTTTCTACAAATAATGTCTAAATTATTTGATAAATTTACATATACGCGAATTTTAAAAACTAAAAAGTGTTTATAGAAGCATTATTAATTTATGATTATTGCTTATATTGTGAAAGCAGTCAAGAAACTTATACTGGATGGAAATGTTGGCTTGAATGAAGTCCTGATGAACTCGTTCATTTTTCATGACCAATGTGGTCAAATTATAACAAGAGCATGCTTAAAGAAGAAAAATATTTTCATTAATTATGGGTCAAAACTGAAACCGAAACGAGATTTACTGAAAGATCTAACGTCTAATGAAGCCTATTAAACTTGGTTCGTCCATATAATCCATATATCCATATAGTTAATGAAATTATTTTGTTGAACCTTCACAATATAGCTAACTTTAATAATCCATTAACATTCAAATTTTCTAAATATAGGTGGCTACCCAATCCAAATATATCAAATAATGTAGTATTTAGAGAAACTTGTTTTTGTTTCTGGATCCTCATTTGAAGGAGGTTTTGAATTGTTTTCCAGGGTGGTTGACAAAATCTTCCATTCGAAAACATGAAATTTTCGTTATTTTTGTTTCCACCGGTATAATTGCACATTTTGGGCGCCTGCGTGTAATACAGAATGATCTTGTCTAAGTAAACTATTGCTTCATAAACTATAGCCAAAATTTCACTTCCTCACGAAATGAAACATGGTGATGGCTAAAAAGATACTTAACGATAGGTAGTAATTAACACACAAAAGTAACGATAATTTGAAGACGGAACGGAAAATCCGATAATCTACAGGGTGTCTCCGTCGCTTCTGAATACGACAAAGTTTTTAGAACGGTCATTCGGAATAAACGTCTAATCCCCCATCCACCGGGAATCACCCTGTATATACATATCAGCACAATTATAATCAAGTGTAACAATAAATAAACAATAAAGATAATAAAAATTAATCAGGTAATCAAGTTACACTTACAAACTAATAAGTTATAAACAGATTACAGGTTTATGAGTATGGGAGTGATGGGTATTACTGATGGTTCCAAAAAAGCTCAGTAGATACCGAAGAAATTATTTATTTTTTGGTAACAAAAAAATCTAAATGCGTATGTCACTACGAGGCGTCATGTTTCTAGGAAAAATTGTTAGCTTAATGAGGTAGTATATGAAAAAGTACACGATTGTAATAAAATGGCTACAATATATAATGAGTTAGCGATTTTGAGGATCCTTCGCCTACCTGAAAACTAAAATACATTTAATATTGTGAAGTTTCTGAATGGAAGAAGCTTCTTCTGTATTGTATGTCAGGCAGCTGATGCATTTTTATGAAGCTTTATTTATTTAAGGTAACACGGTCGCTGCAAAAAAGTTCCGGATCAAGACGAACACCTCCATAGGTCAATTATGAATTAAATTATTGACAGATTTTATTATCCCAAGTATTTTCAATTTACACTTAGTATTTATTTGAATATATACGGTTGGCACACCACAAACCTTGATAGTGTAATAAAAAAAGTATTCATTGGTTAAACAACGTTTATTGTCAAAATTCTCCAAATATTGTTTTGTTCTATATTTAAGTTATTCACAATATAAATTTTTACATTAATTTCTGGTAAACGCAAAGATGTTATTTATTTAGAATTCTTTAAAGCATATTTTTATTCTGTAATTATTTATTGATTTCGCAATAATTATTATTCGCGTACGTTTTATAAAAGCGTAAAAGTTCTTTGACCTTATTTCGCAGTCTGTCCAGCTCTCTCGGTATAATTTATGTTATAACATATTTAAATACCTTCGTACCGCATTAGAAGACTCTTGCAACATACCAAAGGTCGTTCCAAAATAAATGGCATTTTAATTGAACTTGATAACAAAAAAATCCTATGTACATTGCAAAATGTATTTGTAAAAATTGCCACATTAAAATCGGAGATGTTTTTGCAGCAGATTAAGACATCTTCTTCAAGCTGCTTGAACATTTTCGTGGCTGTGAAAAATCAGGGACCTTTTTTAAATTTCCAGTTCAAATATAAATAATATATTAACAGTTTTTAATTGTTTTAAGTTATCAAAAAAAACCTTTGCTTGAAATGTATGCATGTTAAACTAAAAAAACAAAATTAATAAATTACACTTTAAAAATATTTGCCATTGCTTCTACTGCGCAGGACGTTGATTTGCTAATAATATATAATTTTTTTTACATATACCCCATAGAGCATAACCCATTTGAGTCGAAAACTTGTCTGGAGAATAGCCATTTGCAGAATGTTTTTTTGCTAAATTATTTTTAAACTCCATAATTTCAGTTTTACTGTTACCGTCATTATATATAAAATATCAAAGTGTAACGTGTAAAGTATATAAGTATATTAATTTTAGTTCATAGCTAGTAGTTAATAGTAGTTAATAGTTCAGTTATTTTCCCATATCAAGTTGTTTAAAACGTTGTTCAAAAACATTAACATAACCAAAGCCAATTTTCTTAGAAAAAGTAATTCTGCTATTTTTAAATTTTCGATAAAAATACTATATAAACTTTAATATCGACAATTACATTTTTGCTCATTATTTTCCGACACTCTGTATACAATAAATACGTGAACGCAATTAAGAAAATAATAGTCACAGTTAATTAAATGGCCAATCAGTACCTATTTATTAAAGTTTTTATAACTTTGTTAATATAAGTGCAATAATAATAATAATAATAATAATAATAATAATAATAATAATAATAATAATAATAATAATAATAATAATAATAGTAATAATAATAATAGTAATAATAATAATAATAATAATAATAATAATAATAATAATAATAATAATAATAATAATAATAAATGAATGAAAATTGAATTAGAGGAAAAAATCTTGCAACGCTGTCCAGATCCCAGCCACCGTCAATCTAAAAATCAATTTCAAAAAGACGTTCCTTTTTTATGCTTAGGGAAAGTACCCAATTTTAATTTGGTAATTTCACGCCGAAGGCATACAATTTGTTTACTTCGCTTATCGGCCACGCCTTTGCGATCGGCTCAGACGAAAATAATGTTTCTTTTATATTATTATTCCGTGTCAAGTGTAGATCTGGTATTTGTTCCGGTGCGTCCCGGAACGCGGCCATGACAGACATCTGGGTCGGCTGGTGACCCCTCGTGCCGAAGAACGTGCGCGATAAACGTTACAAATGACGACAACGTTGCCAGGTCTGGAAAATATTCTTGGCCATGGGGAGAAAACGAAATTGTAAAAAAAGACGAAAGTCGAAAAAAAGTGATGAAGTTAAAAAACGTTCTTAAGGTTTTTAGATGATTAACTGGTAAAATTGTTTCTCTTAATTTAAAGTTCATTTGAAAGGTATTGAGGAAATTTATGTAGAGAATCTTTTCCTATACTGCATAACCAATCTAATAAGGGTCTCTTTTTGGTTTCAGACTAAAAAAATGATCAAGCCGATCATCACCCTTCTCCTCATGGGGATAGTTATGGTAGTAGCACAAAGAAGATTAGCATTACCAGATCCAAGAAGCTGCGCCAACAGTAAGTAAACATTTCATTCGTGAGGAAAAGAAAATATAATTAAAAATTTGTGAAACAGATTCTAAATAAGGAAAATGTTTATGGCCAGTTGGGTTTTATAGTTTTGTAAAACAACATAACGGTCAGTCACTAAAATAAATAATTGTAAAATCCGTCAGCGTTTATTTTCTTTTCTTTTTATTACGCCGCTCCACGCTGCTGTCATAACAAATATCATGTTAATCTTTACGGCATGTTGATGCGTTGGAGAAAGTATCCAATTTTTAACAATTTAAAGAAGCGTTGGTCCACAAATGCAATACAAATTTTGTTTATTTTATCTGGTTCTCTGGTCCTCGCTTGGAAGCGGCAGGTTAACTGATTTCTGTATATATGATCAGTAACAATAAATTGTAGGATATAGCTGAGCAAGGGAAAAAGTGATATAATTATCGCATATTTTGGCAATCTAGCATTAAAACTCATAAACAATTACTGACTGAGTAAATGTTTTATACATTTCTTAAAACAGCCATATCATGAATGAATGTATAGGGTGAACCTTTTAAGAATATATGATTTTGAGCTACAGAGCGCTATCGGTTAGTAGTAGGTGCCAGAAATATTTCGGTTGCGCTTTGTTTTCTGACATTGCGTTTTACAGATCTTGCAGAGTATGTGTACAATTAAAATGTAAGCATTGTGATATTCCTTGATTCATTCCTTCAACGAAGAATCATTTCATTTTTAGGGGTGCGCCATGCGACTTACAGGGACGCCAGGGGTGTTACGCATTCGTATTTCTTCAGCTGGGAACACTCGCCAACGAGAAATCTCGAAGTGGACTGGCTAGACTCGAGGAATATTTGCAGGAGGCATTGCATGGATGCCGTGTCTTTAGAGACGCCTCAAGAAAACGAATTCGTTAAACAGAGATTGGCAAGAGGAAACGTTAGGTACTTGAACAAAATTTTAATTTGAAAAATATTGCTATTAAAAGAACCATAGTTAACAAAAAAATAATTTCGTAGTTCTATATAATAAACATAAGCAATTGTAAATTGTGAAATTTAAATCCTCTTTGAAACGCACTGTCATTGGCCGTGACCGGTTGTGACGTCAATTCGCTCCTTCGACTACTCCCCAGTTGGACGGTAGCATAGAGAAGCCATTAGAGAACGAGAATGCGTTCGGGTTGGTGGCTTTAATTTTAATTTTAATCTTGTGTATTGTGTTTAGGCCATTCTGATAATTTTTCTTTAGTGGATATGTTTATGGTGACATCTTACATAGAAAACACCGAAAGCTTTTTTTTGCTGAGGTTCGCGGTGTTAAAGCTAAAACATATGCTTACAGAAAATTTAGATAACCAATATAATATGGTACTCAGCTTAAAGGTTTCTAGCTTTTAAAATTCAAATAGTATATCAAATAAAATGTAAATTATTCAACAAAAAAAAACAAAAAGGATTTTTTTTAACTAGTGGAAACCTACATGCTGATTTTAAAGTATATTGGCATTGGTAACTTAAAGTGTTCCTTATTTTATTTAGATCAGGAAGCCATTCCTTGGAGACTGCAATAGGATGGGTGCAAGTTCTAAGAGTAAAAAATGTTTGCACGGTTAAGGCAAAGGAACATAATGTTAACAAAAAAACTCTATTATTTTCTGGTTGGGTTGTACTCAAATTTGTGCTGTACTGTAGATTTATACTCAAAAAAAATTTGCAATTATTGGTTTTGTGTTGCTTCCATGTAAAGCACACTAAGCACAAATACAAACTGTCGTAAATTATATGCAAACACATTTTACACGAATCAAAAATAAACGTAAATAATATAATTTTCGGCAGCAGCGGTATGACGCCACGATCATTCCCGTACATTTACAATCATTTTAAAGTAATACTGTCACAACTTGAATTATTTATTGCAACTTAAATATTGGGTTTTGAGTTTTGATATTTGGTATGCATTATTTCTGAACATAAATAAATGTATTAAACAAATAAATAAAATGTTCAAGTTGCCTATTGTTCTCTCCATAAGAATTTCTCAAAATCAAATTCATCTACAGTTACTGGATGTTCCAGTAAGGGCAACAAGGTACGATATAAGGAAAACTGGCATCCTAGAAATTTGAAATCAAAATACTTAAGTTAATCAGTCAAGAGAAAATGCTGTAAATTATTTTCTAATTTTTGAAATGACCACCAGAGGGCGTTATTGTTTTCTTTCATTTTAAAAGTCAGTTTCCACAAAAAAAAGTTATTTTAACCATATGACAAATTCAAATATTTTTTTCCTTAAATTAATGTCCATTTCTTCAAAAAAGCTTAACGCATTTTAATAAACTTTGATTAAATGAAAATGGCTTTTCCTAGGCGATTACGTTTGCTTAAATTGCCACCAGGTGGCTTTTTCTGACACTCATCAAAAAAAGATAATTTTCTGAAGAAATAGTAAATGCAACAGTATGACTTAATGTCAGCCAAGGGCCAACAACCCGAAGAAAAGCGCATCTAAACCTTTATCCTAACCTAAAATAAAAGGTGAACGTGATAGATATTTCTTGACTCTATATCGTTTTAATTAGTTTAATTTTGTTAAATGTTTATTGCATTAAAAATTTCTAATTTAAACTTATCGTGCCTAGAAGAAATCGACGCGTTAGGAACGAAGAGAAATACTGATCATTTCAATACATATTTTTCTACTTAAATAATTCAATGATTCAATTAATGAAAGAATAAGTGATAATAGTACATATTTGAAAACGGCAAAATGTAGAAATGGAGTAATTTGGCGCCCTTCGAAGATATTGTAAAAGATAACATTTTATTTTGATTTTTAATATCATTTGGTATCCGGAATTATCAATTGGCTCTTTATTTGTCAAATTCGGAATAATTGCATTAAAAAAAACATTAATAAAAAATGGTCCTTACAGACTTCACGTTGATGATTGCGTTTTCAGTGGGTTGTTGGCCCTTTATTTGACTATCTAATGTCTGAAAAAGTAATATCGTTGTATTTATTATTTTTTTCAATTGTCAGAAAACTGCACCTGGTGGGAAGGCTATCAATTGCAGTCGCGTCACTCATAGCACGCTTGATAGCGTCCAAATTGATTAAAATTCGTTAACCCCTTTTGGATATGCAGGTTTATTTAAGAAAATGTTTGAACGCCACCTACCCCGCTTTCTTTGCAAGTAAACAGCATAACCAAAAAATACTACTCCGTTGAACTGTGGTTAACATTAGAAATGTTTGTAAATTCGAGATAATAATTACGTCCACTGATGAACTTTTCAGAAACTTTATTTTTCAAATTTCTAGACCCGTTTGTTTTCCTAATACCCTACCTCGTTGTCGTTAGTGAGACACCCGGTACACTATTATAGTAAACACAATACCTACCAAATATTTTCAGGTGTGTGGGTCTATTATTTATGATGTCATCTCTGTAGTCGATTTGATTTCTATTGACTGTATTTGGTAGACCACTATTTCACTGAATTCCAATGAATTTACTTAGATATATCTGGACATCCGGTCGTAAATGCAACTTTGCCGGTTGCGACAGACCCGACCTCCAGCCACCAAACATTAACGGTTGGTTTTGGTCCGGTTCCGGAGCAAAAATCGGACCGACCACCCAGAGAAACACGGGGGACTGGAGTCACACCGGAGGATATGGACAAGCTCAACCTGATAATAGAGAAGCAGCACAGGTAGAAGGACATCCCTTTGATATTTTCTTTTTTTTTGTTTTCTTTAACACATACTTCTAAAATTACATTGCGATACTGATACCAAACACAAATGATCACATTCAAAAATAGACTGTTGTTTTGCTTAAATGTTCCAGGTGAATATAGAAGCATTACCTATTTGCTGATAGTGATTACCATAATTAAAAATAGGATCGATATTTGCAATTTGGGCATGCCCGCGTCATTTCAATCATCGTGTGAATATGGCTGCCGACAGGACTGACTGTCATCGCATTTCATAAATTTTATCTTTTATTGGTTATGACACTCATATAGCTATTAGAAAAATTGCTGGCCGCTAATACTACAAAACTGATGCACGTCGCACGGGTATGACATTTTGGAAGGGAATGCAATGATCTTTCACGCATACGTATGATTGTATCATAAACCTTACACATTGACCTGTACTTTGTGCATTTTCTTCCTAAGCAGCAATCTGACGAAATACTGTCTAATTTATGTACTGTCCCTTTCCATGTTGATTGTTGGCGCGAGGTCTTATTGGTTGGTTTAAAATATCAGATCCTATTGGTTGAAAACTAAATTTGAAAACTTTTTATTTCTTGAAAGCTTTAAAAGTTATTGTGTCATCAGCATAGGCAGGGTCTCTATAGGGTTATTCACGATATACTTTTTTTTTAATGGAACCTCTTGTATGTTATAGAATTTTTAGATTCTGCGACCAAAACAAGTGTTTGTTTCACTAACGTTTATCATACCCAAAACCTACGACTATAATGACAACTAACTAAAAGTACAATAAAAATATATGAAAACCTTCCATTTCCAGACACTTATATATTCTTTTCTTCAAACTGTTGAGCATTTGAGGAGGAAAAGCGTCTCTAATACGCATTTTGATATTATTTGGTGTGGAAGCGTGTTATAAACAACTCTTTTTGTATGTGAGAAATCTAGTTTTGTTAAGTGCAAAGTCTGTGGATCCTGTTGTTTCAATTTTGAAACTCATGTCTTCCAATCCACTTGTTTTCAAAATTCGCAACTAAAAATTGCCCGATTTCGCATTGATAATGAGGCGCCGATGTGCCAACAATATTTAAACGGACTTCCTTTAACAATACAGGAAGTTTAAATTACAATAAGTAATACCCGGATGGCGAAATAAAACAAAAACGACGTTTACAATAAAACTTTTAATTATAAAACACCAAATGCCCCCAAAAACCATAACTTCGCGTATTCTGCGTACAACATTCGATAAGTAATTGAAAAGTTCATTCCCTGGTATTTGATTTAAATTAATCAAGTTATAAGCACTTAATGTTTTAGCCACCCTAAAAGGTTAATGTTATGCTCTACTGTAAATTTCGCTGAAATTATTTAAATACTTTTTACGTATTTCATAAATATTAATTACATTAGATTTTGAGAAACTCATCTTAGTCTTAGCCTGAGATATATTTCATACTCTTAGATCTTTTAGGTCACCCTATAGAGTATGAAAGTAATTTTAAAAATTGACTATAATACAACTCACACAACCCAGACGTACCTTTTGGGAATTTTGTATTTCGACGACAATATTCCGTGCAATATAGCCGGGTAGTCACGCTGCTTTCTAGTAGCTATATGGTTTCATTTCTTCCGAAAATTTTTTTGAAATATGCCTAGATGCTGCGAAATTTTCAGAGAAAAATGGCTGCACTGGGCAACAACTGAGCTATGGCAATTTTACCATATTTACAGCCGTTATATTAATTTTTTCTAGTACATACATTGTTTCAAATCATAGTTGGCGCGCTTGTATAACTTTTTCACGTGAACATTAAATAAAATATAAAAACTAAATAAATAAGTAGGTACACACCGCAATACCAGCGAAATAAAAAATCAATAGCATTGAACGCGATTGTTGGCCAATGCCAAGCGCATATTCAACGCGGTGACATCATTTAAACAATAAATAGTATTTTAATGCCTACATGCATTTTAGAACGTTGTTGCAAATTACATGACCTTTTTAACCTGTCAAGATAAATATTTGTTTCATTTGTATTTGACTTTACAGCTTTACTAAATATCAGAACTTTGAAGTTGCATACAACACAGAAAGACAAACTTGTGTTACCTAATACATACTTACACCATATTTTACTCATTGATCGGAAATGTTCTCCTTTTGCGTAGGCAATATTGTTTTGTTTTATAATGATATGCCAAATCTCACAAAAACTTTGTTTAGGGCAACGATGAGTCTTGTCTGGCTATTTTGAACAACTTCTATAACGACGGCGTGAAATGGCACGACGTAGCCTGCCACCATTTGAAGCCGTTCGTCTGCGAGGACAGCGAAGAACTCCTAAACTTCGTGGCTTCTAGAAACCCCGGCATTCGTCTCTAGAAACGGTTTTGATGGGAAGAAGAGACAAGATGTACCTTACACTTTACCCCCACTCTTTATAGTTAAAAAGAAATACAAATTGGTGGACTTCTTTTTTGATTTTTCGGACCTGCTGATATCGAGTTTCAATGACTTTTAAGCTGAGTGTAGATATACGTAGCGATTTTTATATATCTTTATACTAAATTATGATTTGTAATTTTAGAATCTATTTATATAAATACCTGAATAGTTTAATTTGCGTTTATTTTTAACGGTTCAGTCCATAAATTAAAACAAACCATGTACTTATACTTAAAGTCAAACGCCTATTGTCACTCGTTGAAGAAATAGAAAAGTTTAGTTTTCAGTAGTTATATTTGCTATATCATACGTAGAGTGTTTTTATTAAAACTGCCTTTTTCCAAATATTGATGACGGGTTATGTGGGATCAGTGTAAATAATTTTGAGATAGCATGAAGTGTTTTTTTTTTTCGAATAAAATAAAGCAACTGTAGGAATGCGTCAAATGTAAATCGTGAAATAGAATTAAAAGGTCTCGAGAAACACAGTAATGATTTTTGGTATTAAAAAACACTATATATAGCGAAATAGATCATTTAAATCGGAAAAAATATAGTTTATTATCAACCATTTGATCTTTGAAAGTTTCAGAAAAGCAGTTTTACTTTTTGGAAAGGCAAATATAAACATTCAAAAATGAATATAAACGAAATTTATTTAAAATATCTACCTGACATTTAATTTTTAAAATTTAGCAATTAAGAACACATTGCAAGAGATGCCAATGAACAATGTACATTATTTCTTGCCCTTTTTTTGGATTGTCATTCTTGCATGAAAAAAAAACCATAAACATCAAACTTTTGGTAGAATTTTCAGGAAAAAACATATTTGAGAAAAGGTTCTAAATATTTTTGTGAAATTTGGTAAATTAATTCTCAGGTGCACAAACACGTTCTTTTATTTCTACCAGTGGCGTCCGTCTGCGACTTGTAGAGCACACTTTTGAAGAAAAAAATGGTCATTGACATTTTTTCAGGTAAATAATTTATTTGGATAGTTACATCATGCGTTTTTTATCCCATGCATCGTTCTTCTTTAAAAAATTCTAATAACAATGCTACATTTCAAAATTTTTATAAATGTAATTGTCAAGTCACCCATGACTGAAAAAGAAATAGTTGGTCTTTGAAACCTTTTTAACTTAATGTTAACTCCATTTTAGTGTATCATCGAGTTATTTTTTTCCTCTAGAATATCTAACATTAAAAAATAAAAAAATCGATGTAGTCTGGATATGCATTTTGGAAGCGCTTTAGGGGCCGCAAAAAGGTGTTTTGTGCGCAGAGCGGAGTAAGTAATTATGTTAAAAAATGTAAACATTTTTATAAAATTTATTTAAAACGCTAAAGATATCACAAAATAACAATTTTTTATTGTTCTAATCGGGATAGAAGGCAACCCCTTTAATAATCGTACCGCAAATATCGTAAAAATACAGTCTCGACGAATTTCTAAACTTATTCGATAACTCGCTGCCCATGTAGCTGCAAATGACACTTGAAACAAATTTCGAGTCCAAGTTCCTATACGAGATTCGAATGTCGTACATTTTTTCCGGGACCAGCGTTACCGGAAATTTCAAAGGCACGTAAACTTCAGAATTGTAAAAGAATTCCGATCTCACTACCGTAGGTTTAACGATATCGTCAGAATTCAACTCACAAAATCTCACCGCTATGGTACCAATGTACGTTTCACACTCCGTCTGCTCTCGCTTCATTTCCGTACATAAAACCAAACCAAAAACCGAAAAAGTACTGTCCGCGGAAACGCTCGACACAAATTCTTCCCCTTCCGAGAAATCTATTCGCCTAGCTATTTTAAATATGGGTTTCGTTTGACAAAGTAAAGGCATAGGATCAAATGTCAGGAACTTTAAAGGCTCTTCTTGGCACACCTCTTCTTTGGATAACAATATGAATATTTTCGAAATGACCTCGTCCACACATTGGCACTTGGTTAAGGCAACCGAACAATATTCGCAAAGTGGTAGGACTCCATCTTTGTAAATATACTTCACGATATCTTCATCTTTCAAAATTTGCACTACACTCTCCGGACTGAGATTTTTATTTTTTAAACGACACTCGTCAATTGCCCACACTATTATGAAGGATGCGAGAGCCTCTTTGCTAATCAACTGATTTTGTTTTAAAGCAGCTCTCAAAGTGGACGGTTTTATGTGGTACTCACCGCATATCACGGCATTCAATGAATCCACTAGAGAATCGAAGCAATGCTGCTTCAAGTCATGGATATTATAAAATTGGGAGTATTCAAAACTTAAAGCTAAGGTGCTCATGGTTAAGTTGCTCATTATGTAACTCAGACATAATTGCATCAACTCTTTTATAAAGTATTTCTCAGCCACATAAAACAACGACCACCCATTTGTAACAGAAGTTATTTTAGTTTTGTATGTATATATGTAATCCAACATCTGATTAAATACATCCAACTCCACATCGTCGAGGAATATTTCGTTCGATGGCATGCTCCCAAAGAACATCTTCTCGAATACGGGACTGGCGCATGCTAAGATCAGTTTATGGGCTTTGACTTCTTCACCTTTGATTTTGAAAGTGCAGTCCACAAATTTACCCTCTTGAAAAAACGAAACCAACTTATTGTGTGCACTGTTACTGGCCTCCATCTGCAAGTAAAATTTTAAAATAGGATAAAAATAATTACGTTACATTATTATATATTGTACTCGTAAAGAAAAACAAAACCAAAAATACAAAAAAAAATCACCTAATCTAATTAGAATGAAAGTCTCAGCCTTTGTCTAACTAAAACTAAAAAATATATTACCTTCGCTCAATAATATTTTATTATAAACCTTGGAATACTGTGTGGTACAGGTACCTAACTCAAGTTCTCAACATCCTTCAACTAAACGGAAGAGCAAAGTCAAGGTCATCAGATTAAATTTTTTATAGAATGATAGATACCCACTTATTTAATATCAAATTTACCTGACTCGTAACTCGATGGTCGAAATTAGGATTCCCAAAACACTGTTAACAAATTGGAATGTTTAGAGTTTAAAGAACACCGCCGTCGAAAAACAATGCACAACTAGGACCTGCTATTATTTTAATGTACGTCACATGCTCGTTTTAGAAACTGATTAACTTTTAACACCTTGTTTCGGCCGCTGAACCGATCGTAATTGAATTTTAGTTGAAAGAGATAAGGCACGGATAATCAAAAATGTAACGCCGATCACGCGCTATTTAAAATAGCAAAAATAACCCTCAGGCTTAATAAACAAACACTGCGGAAAAAAATTGATGACTAATTTGAGAAGGCAATCCATTCTCTACGTATAATCGTTGGTTGCACCAGTGGGAATAATTTAAAAAAAAACGGCCGCCCAATGACTTACAGATTCACAAACATTTTTTTTAGTTTGAAATTTTACATTTTTTAATAATGCACTTTGCAATTAATCATTAATTATTAATGTACTAGCACATGTTGAAAGCTGGTTGTTTATATCGTCGAGGTCGACTGACGGCCAGAGTTTGGTTCCCGCCATTTTTTGACATTTTAACATAACCTGAATACAGTAAATTGTTTTTTTGTTTCTTATTATAAGTATTTCGTAAAATCATGGTTCAAAAAGAACCGGGACCAAATCTTCCCTGGTAATACATCTATTTGGTTAGTTAGTAATAACTTCTTATAATTATCATTTATATTTTAAGGGTAGAAAAATATCGGCCCAGCACCCTAGACGATTTAGTATCGCATGAGGAAATTATCAGAACAAGTAAGTGCCAAAGTTAGTAGAATAAAACAGTTTTTCCTGATATGTTGTTTCCAGTTAGCAAGTTTATAAAAGAAGACCAACTGCCTCATTTGCTTTTCTATGGCCCTCCTGGAACAGGAAAAACTAGCACCATTTTGGCCTGCGCCAAACAACTGTACACAAAAACTCAATTTGGGTCTATGGTAAATTCTTTGTGATTTTGGAAGAAACTCTTTACTCCTTTGCTTTTAGGTCCTCGAATTAAATGCTTCTGATGATAGGGGCATAGGTATTGTAAGAGGTCAGATTCTAACTTTTGCAAGCACAAGGACTATATTCAAGTCTGGGTTTAAATTAATCATTCTTGATGAAGCTGATGCAATGACCATGGATGCCCAGAATGCCTTACGTCGAAGTATGATTATTGTTTAAGAAAAACATCATTTTTCTATGTACATGTTTTAGTTATAGAAAAGTACACTGAAAACATTCGTTTTTGTATTATCTGCAATTATTTAAGTAAAATTATACCGGCTTTGCAGTCTCGATGCACGAGGTTCCGTTTTGGGCCTCTTTCAAAGGACCAAATTATCCCTAGACTGAATTATGTTATAGATGAGGAAAGGTGAGTTCATGTTATTTTATTTTTCCTAGTTTTCAATTATAATGTCTGGTAGGGTGAAAATAACAGAGGATGGAAAGCAGGCTCTTCTGACTCTAGCCAGTGGTGATATGAGAAAAGTTTTAAATGTTCTTCAAAGCACTTGGTTGGCTTACAAAAATGTTACTGAAGATATGGTGTACACTTGCGTTGGACATCCACTAAGGAGTGATATAGAAAACATTTTTCGATGGCTGTTGAATGAAGATATCAAAACCACTTACAAAAGTTGGCAACAATTTTTGATTTAAATGTAGCAAATATTTACCGTTTCCATTTCAGACATTCAAGACCTGAAAACCCTTAAAGGATTGGCTCTTAACGATATCATTACTGAAATTCACAAGCTGGTACACAGAAGTAAGTCACTATTCATATTTTACTTTTGGGTTTTGTAATAGTTTGTGTTCTTTTATAGCTGAGTTTCCGTCTGAAACTTCTATTAGACTTTTAGACAAAATGGCAGAAATTGAATATAGGCTGTGCTTAGGGGCGAATGAAAATATTCAACTGACAGGCCTTATTTCTGCCTTTCAGTTTGTGAAACACATAAAACCTCCAGAATAGGTTACTAAGTATTATTGTCCACAATCGTTTTAATTTCGTTTCATTAACTTTTTACTTTTTATAATTGTTTTTTTGTACAATATGCAGTATAAACATGTAAGCAGGTACCCAATCAATTTCCCTAAAATTTTGCAACCCGGTCATTTGAACTACTCTGCCGCACAAAGAGGGGCATAATACAAGAAGCAGTTTTATTATTTATTTATTAACAAATTTGATTTTATAGGTTCACGTCAAGGGTATAAATAAACACAGACACCCTCATTTCATTTTGAACAATTCAATGTTGCTAAAAACTTCTTTTTCAAATACATTTTTTGAACTTATGTGACTAGACGTTCACTTTTCGCTGTTCAGAGCTTGTATGAATTCCTCAAGTTTTTCTTGTATTTGACGTACCCGTTCTAAAATTTAAAAATTACAAATGATGTCTTGGCCCAGAAAATAGAAAACTTACTCAATTCTTCTGCCAATGTAACCCGCCTTCCGGTCAATAGTTCCACCTTTTTACTTTGGTCTTGACTGTAATCTTCTAAAACCTCCCGAATTTCCTTATCTAATCTCCTCGCTAAAAGATTAATTGCACTAGTTAATAAATTATAATTGTGTTCTGTTCACATATTCTCACTTGCTTTTGTTAACCTTTTTTTTTTTACTTTGGAAAATCGTTTATGGTAATTTACATTTGAACTTTTTATGACAAGCAAAAACATTTTTTTTTGTTACATTTCTTATATTATTTTTGAGAAAAAAAAATCAGAACAGAATAAAAAATAAAAGTACATAAACATTTGTTTATGTATAGAAATAAGGGATACCAAATATCAAAACTTAAAACCCAATATTTAAGTTGCACTGATCGTGACGTCAGGTTATAGGCCGAGAATTATTTTACGTTTATTTTTGACTCGTGTAAAGGTGTGTTTGTATTTAATCCACTCCAGTTTGTGTTGGTGCATAGTGTGCTTTGCACGATAATAATGGAAGCAACACAAAAACATTATTGCAAATCGTGCCATCCTGTTTGAGTACAACCAGTAAAACACCAGATGAACTTTTTATTCGTCTATCAAAAAACAAAAGCCGTCGTTTTTCGTTAACATTACGAACATGCACCCATGCTTTTTCCGCTTCCGTCATTTTCAAATCTTTCTTTTTGATAATAAACACCAGATAACAAAACCAGGCTTCAGGATTAAGACAAAATTAAAATCACCAAGACGAACGCGTTGACGTTCTCCAATGGCTTATCAATTCTACCGTCTGGCTGACCCGTAGTCTAACCAGCCAATTGACGTCACAACCGGTCACAATCAATGACAACGCATTTCAAAGAGGAATTCAATTTTACAATTTTTAATTGCTTATATTTTTGTACAGAACTACGAAATTATTTTTTTCGTGACCTGTGGTTCTTTTAATAGGATAAACTTAGTTTTATAAGCAAAATTTTTGAAATTAAAATTTCGTTCAAGTTTCCTATCGTTTCCGAATCAATATTATTTTGTAGTTTTACAAATGTTTGTAAAAAATAATGCAAAAAATCGTTGTTTTATATTAAAGAATGCTTGACATTCTGTATGTTGAAAATACAAATTACTTGGCTATGTTTATAATCACTTACAAAGTTTTGGTTTTGATGCCACTTAATGAATAACACTTTGTTAATTCAACCCTTAAAATAAACTGATTTAAAAGAGATCTTAGAAGTTATCATTCCTCTGAGGACCAATTTTCTTTTACTTTCTTCTTCACGAGATTCCTTTGTCTGAATAATAAAATTCGAACTATCCCTTATGTATGTAACAGTAACAATTTTGGTCAATAATATCAGATATTTCACTAATCAATATAATTAAGTGGTTTAAAATTTGAAACAACTCACCTTCCCGATTGGTAATTTGTTGTCTAAGTGCGTTAGCGGTCACTTTCATCATCTGCTGTATCCTGTGGAATAAAACTACCTCTGCGCAGTCCACGTCCATTTGCTGATGGTATAAATAAAATGCCTTCCGACAGTCGTACGCCTTGCTCAGCGATTGGGTAAGAAAATATTTCCGGTACACCGCGTCCCACAGTTCCCTGATGAATTCGTTATCTACTTCTACACTTTTCAGCTGGAGATTGTTCCTGATGGTCGTCAGCTCATCGTATGAGAGTTGTGGCGGGTGTTTCTGGAATCACGTTGCTGTTTTATTGATAAATTAAAGAAATCAAAGCTACCTCGTTTGAGTATAAAACTTTGTCCAACTCGCCCTTGACGTAATTACGTTTCAACTCATCCTCCGACTGGTACTGCCAATAAAGCCATCTCTCTTTGGCCGATGGACCCAGTAACTTCTTCAGATTCTTTTCGCTCTCTTTGAGTTTCTCCTTCACGCTGTTTTCTAGAAACTTTACCGCGAGATCCCAGTCGCGTTTGTCGCTGATGGTCCTATCTTCCAGAATGTTCAGCTGAATGACCCTCAACATGTCGGAGGCCTTAAAAATAACCCTTGTCGCCTTGCGCTTTAAACGGACACCAGTAAGTTACTTTGTCTTCCCACTTATGCCTCCGCATCGCCTCATTAACCACCGCCTCCTTGAGCTGATCGAAAATGTTGTCATGATCGGGAGCCTGGGACCTTTTTTGCATAAACTTCTCGAATTCGGATCGCAGGCTTTGCCAGCCAGACTCGACCGATTCAAATGGCAGGCTCGATTCGGCCCACTGACGTAATTTAATATCGACCGCGGTGTTAAAAGTTTCTGCAGAAAATTAAAAGTGAAGCAATAGTAACCAGGTACAATATCTTCTTTATTAAACGAATGGTGTATAAATAGAAAAACACACATTTTAAAGATATTTTATTTATACAGTTCTGTAAATGTGTAACCCCCCTAGAAATGTGTATGACACCGTAATAAATTTTAACTTTAATCTGACGTTGCTAGCTTATTGGGAATTAGGAAATATTTCCAGCTCTATGATTTCCTATTATCTTCCATAATTGTAGAATCTGCATCCTTTATAACAATAATAGTTATTAATCATTTACAAAAAACGTTAATTTATTGCTTTCTAAGCAGTCCTGAATGTAAAAAGTGGTATGCTTTCTTAGGTTTGTTGAAATTGTTTTCATAAGTTGAAATTAGAAAATTGATCAATTTTTGTTTTTATTTGCCAAAATTAATCCTTTAAAGACGATATTTGTAAATTGCTCGAAATAAGGTTAATTTTTCAAAGAAACTTCTACAGACTACTTTTTATAAAACTTCTGGATTCCTCCTGCGTCGATTTTTATTGAGTCGAACTAGCTAACGTTTCGCTAATCTAATCATCCTGTTGGCTTCTTCTAAGCTTGACTGAAACTGGCTCGCATTTTACTCTGTACCTGCTTTTACATTGTTTGAGAAGAGGGAGCTAAATGAGAGGCATAAACACCGTCTCGGATGGCTGATTCCCATATTGGTGACAGGTAAAGACCTAAGTCGCGGTTAAGATTGTTAGGTTGCTTATAGATTTCTTTACTCTCGGATTTTTGGTTGGCAGAAGAATTGATTACATGCAAGAATTTTAGTTGTATCGAATAAAATTTTATGTCAGGTTTCGTGATTGTGTTTGGCAACCGCTGATAAGTTCATTTGTCTTAGTCTTCAGGCTGTTTCATGTTCTGATACCTCAAATAGAATTTTGACGGTTTGAAGATAGCCAACTGGATGATTGGCGAAACGCTAGCTAGTTCCACTCAACAAAAGCCGAGGAGGAATCCAGAAATTTTATAAAAAGTACGAAATCAGGTTATTTAAAAAATACAACTAAGTGGTTGTCAAATAATCCTACGCCTTATTGAATACAACATTTCTCACAAAATCATAAAATTCAATACACCACCTCCCAGATATTGAAAAAAGTTTCTACTCCCCTTTTTTGTTTCGTCACTTGTGGTAGACCGCAGATTTATCCTTATTTGATTTCATATTCATTATTTATCGGCTGATTGTAAATTAAAATAAAAGATTATTAACAATTAAATTAGAAATTAGATCCATTATTTAAATTTAAAAGTACCACTGTTATTTTTAACTATTACTTAGGTTAACTAACTAACTGAAACTAAAACCTCCGGTATGAAATAATTATGTTCTTGTATTGCTTACTGAATTCTTAGTAATATATTAAGGTCCAGTTCTGATATAAATTATTATTAATTATTCATAATATTAAAAATATGAAAAGCATACTTTTTGCAACATGGTATTAAACTTAAATGAGGGATGTATTGGTCAAATTACTCCGCCACCCTGTATGTGTAAGGTTTTTACCTGAAGAACCGGTTTGTGCTGCGGGAATGTATACGTTCTCAAACACGTGGTTGGAAATCTTGTCCCATATACTGCAGAGCAAATGGTCCTCCCAGTCTCTCGGACTGACCTGAGACAAGTTTACGATTTCGTCTAGAATTTCCCCACGGGCGCGTTCAAATAATTCGTCTCGGTCCTGTTCGCGTAACCTCGGAAAATTGTTCTTCCATTCCGTTTCCAGATTGAACCGTCTCGCTTTAAATGAGTCCGCCTGCTGCTCAACAGTTTCCCTGACCATCTTCCAAAAACAGTCTGCGACCGCTAGACTTAGATTTCGCGTTGTTACTTGCGTCGACCGAATTTGCCCATCCCTAATGAATATGTGAACAAACCCCTATTTAATACTAACATAAAATCATACCATACAATAAGAGTCATTTGAGCTACATTATCTTTTGAAATTCTTGTTTCATATTTGTCTCTACCAGTATCCTACTCACTTAAATAATTTTGAGTTCCTGAAGAAGTTCTCCTCGTAGTCCTTGATTGTGTCAATCGAGTCATCTTTGCGCCCCCTGCCGGTCACGACAGCGAAATACCCAAGCGCTTTCATCGGGAACAGTTTACCTGAAAGTATCTTCCGTATCTGCATAGGAAAAACATATATTTCAATCAGGCATTCATTGCATTTTGTGGTAAACTAACCCTGTTGGGGTCGGCCAAATTTTCTTCAGCCATGTCCACTTTGGTCAGAACAAAAATAGTTCTTTTACCAGAAGGATCGCAATTGGCCACTAAATCTGTAACATTGCTTCTTTCTGCATCCACAGAACCATCCTGTAATTAAAAAAATATATACCCAAAAGTAACTTATTTTTAATATTCTTACTTGAATACACAAAATAATAGCGTTTGGATTAGTCATGTAAGCCTGCGTCATTTGCCTAATGCTTTCCCTGGTATCCCCAGCCATGTCGGTGGTTTGGGTCTGAAAATGATATTTCCCAGATCACACCCTAACCTCACCTAAGAACTCACTGAAATTATTCCTGGTAAATCTACTAGTACCATCCTCTGCAACCCGGGACCTTTTACGGTCATAGAAATAACTTCACTAGAAACGGTTTTTCCCCCTTTAACACTGTTTCTCATACGCAGCTCGACTTCTTTTCTCAAATCTGCCAAATCACTTTCTTTGGTTAAATCGAACTCGCGTGATGAATCGCGAAATTGTGCTACATGGTAGGGACCTTCAGATAGTGTCACTTTGACAGGTGCTCTAAAATATTGCTGATTATTATTTAAATATTTGCTATTCATGGGATTCTTGGACACAAATCATTTTTTAAACAAAGTCATTACCACAAATGTAAAATAATATGGAAAAATCTGAATTTTATACCTTGTCATCATTTCTCCAGCACCCCTTGGAAATATTCTGGCTTGAGCAATCATTTCCAAAACAGAAGTTTTTCCGCTACTCTGATCCCCGACAACAACTACCCTAGGCAATTGATCTTGAGTGTTGTAGTTACTGTCAAAATCGGCCAGTTCATCCAACACCTCACTGTACATATCAATCAGGCTCCTTTTCACTTTGCGTGTGTTTGGTTTCCTGCCCTGTTTTAGCAACAGATTTTGCTTCCGGAGCTCTTTGTTTTCCTTTTCTAATTTTTCCAGTTCCTTCTGGTATTTGATTTGGGTTTGCATCATTTCATCTTGTATCTCATTTAATCTGTTTTGTGCCTCTTTTCTAATCCTATCTTCCTCATTTTCATGGCGACCAAAAGGTTTTGCATAGACAACAGCTCTCTCTTGAATTTCATTTTTGACTTCTGCAAAAAGTCCTCTAATGGAATTATATCACAAGATTATAAATCATCCGTACCTGAGTACATTCTATCTGCAGCGTTCAAAATGGAGATCATAACACCTAAATAAAAAGGAAAACAAAAACTACAAATCACTATAATTTTAGAGACTGAATGTACTCAAAATACGGAAAAAAATGCAACATAATTACCAGTAGATAGTGTGGAATTCTCAGCTTTTTCAGCTGCAGCAATAGCATCATCCAGTCTTTGATCAAACCAATTTCTAAACTGATTGTATTTTGCCTCTGATAAGGATTTTATCCTAGGGTCTGAAATAAGATATTGCATTTAAATTTAAACTAATTAATGTCATACCTAGTTCAATGTTGTCTTTAATACTATCTTTAAATTCAATTAAATTTCCTCGCCATTCTTGCCATTTCTCATTGTCTGGTAAAACTTCTTCCAACCATTTCAAATCAGGCATTCCGTCTTTCCAATCATTGTATTTCTGTTTTGGAAAGAAAATAAAAATGTTATAAACACAAAACCACAAGAGACCTTCTGTAATGCTCCTCCTCCAGCAACGGCACCACCAATTAACAGATACCGAATCTTAAGAACACCTCTAAGTGCCCTAACTATGAACATTCCATATTCTCTCCTTTCAAATCTATAATGCTGATAAAACAATGGTCTGGATCTATCCACAGCTCTGCCGCCCCACAGACTGCAAATACCTCTTTGAAATCTACGCTGCGACCCATATTTCAGCGGATTTTTGGTATAGGAAGTAATGACCACCCGGCTGAAAAGTCCAACTAAGGTGACATAACCTAAAGCCATGTTTTCATTTTACCCAAATTTGCCTCTAAGTAAGATATCCATATTAATCCATTACTCTCTTGGGTTTAAGCTTGTGTTATTTGGATTTTAGATTAACCCAAGTGTAGTCCAATAACTGTCAAAAATCATTGTAATTTTTTTTATATAATGCCATAGACTACAGAACCACCATTATATTTTTCTGGGTCTAAGAACATCTTTTTGGATGCTTTCATTGGGTAAACTTATCATGGACACTCGCCCAAGGCTATGAACTTGAATATTTTTTGATTTGTAAGTTGTATGATGAAAGGTCTAAAAGAGTTAATGGCGCGTTCCATTTGAATTATTAAAAATCGGACTTTGACAAATAGAAAAAAAAGTCGGAAACATACTATTTATTTATTATTTAAATTGGGCATAAATAGTGGCTTAAATAAATATTTACAAAATTATTTACATCCTCTATTAACTAAAATGTATGGCATCTAGACTAATCTTTATATACATGATAATTTATTTACATTCGAAATGGCAGTGACATTTGACTTTTAATGGACTAGGTCTAAATAACAATTTATAAAAACCGCACGTCTGTAGGTACAGTATAGACATGGGTATAATACAGTTAAGGTAATACTTTGGAAAAAGTGCAGATATCCGTCGAAATTGCGTTTTATATACGGCGGAACGTGCTTTAAACATTTCCAGCAGGTACAATAGGGCACGAGTTTAACAAAACGTTGTTAAGTTCCTCCATATCTGTCCAGTCTTTTGGTTCGTCTTCAATTTTAAGTTTCCTGATGCAGCCCTTGAAGTTCTCCCTGGTTTTTAAAGTCCCAACCGGTGCGTTATCTGACAATTAAACATTACAAAAATGACCAAAATAATTAGACTCCAAGAGGATGATAAAAAAATAAATATATAATATAATTTGTTTTACAAAAAAATGTTAAATAAAAAATTATAGATAAGACTTAACAATTTAAAATTATTTTCAAACATACAAATATATTCGTAAATATATCGAAAACGAAACAGATTTTTTTATAGTATTGCATTAGTAGATAATGGGTGTTTTCGGATTTATTTTTTCGTAAAAAATGTCCCGTGTTTAAGACGCTATATTTTTGACACAATTTCCGACAGCTGTAATTTTATTATGCCAACAATTGTGTAGTCATTTATTCTATACATGTCTTGGAGTTAGTTGGAATCGTTTATGCAGGGTTAGTCAAAATAAAAAAATAATAATTCTCGTTAAAAAACAAATGTATACTGTAAATAATGTATAATTATATATAATACTTCCATTAATTATCCCTTTTAATGCTCTTTCAATGTTATAAAGCATTCGCTTATACTTAGTATTTTTTGGGATATACACATTTTTACGAGAAAAACTCCGAAAATTTGTCAAATTATGAGAAAATTTCGCAATAAGCCGAGAAAAATAAAAATAAAGAGTTTGGTGCAAATGTAGGTGATGCCCAATCGTTCAAGAGCATTTATCGAAGTCGAAGCGTTTCTAGCAATAAATAAAGTGGAACTTAATTAAACCTTCCTTTTTTGTTATGCAGTTTTGTTCTTAGTTTTTAAGGATTTTTTTTCTGGAACTATTGGCAATATTAATTTTTAATATTATCCCTAGCGTAAAATACTGTTGAAATTTGTATTAACACGGAGTGAATGCTATTAGCTCAAACTATTCTAATTAATTCGTCTCCCTGGACTTTTCACGTTCAGGTAATATTGATTGTTCAGTATTTTGTTCGTAAAAATGCGTAGACCTCAAAACTACTAACTTTACGTATAGGGAATTCCCAATAAAATTAAAAGAGCATTAATAAGAGAAATTAAAGAAAATATAATATACTCGGTGTTCCATTTGATTTTTTCAAGAAAATTAATATTTTTCATTTTGACTACTCCTGTATAAACGATTCGGACTAACATGAAGACAAGAGTCAGAGAATCAAAAATATAGGGTATTAAGTACAGCACCCAAATACTGAGTATAGACCATAACAACCCTAAATTTGGCGATTGAGTATAAAAGGATGCCATACAATACCATAATACACAAGGTGTTTCCTCTAAGATAAGCTTTGATTTACCATACATTTATGAATGATTCTGTATATGTATAAATAATTTTAAATTGTTTCTTATAATCTCATCTATAACTTTTGTATTTAACATTTTTCGCTAAAGCAAATAATAAACGAGATATATTATTTTGACACACTATTTGGACACCTTGTTGTAGTTGTGTATAGTGCAAAAATAATAACTACAAAGCGTTTTTGAAGTTTATTTTAATAATAATAACTATTTTTTTTGGACTCAAAGTTCACCAATAGCCATTTAGATATGATACCATGCGAAGACATGTTCCGACGTCACCAGTTGTTAAACTAAGCTGACTTCTTTTATCCATGTTCTTATTGTAATTTCTTTTAATCAATGTTTAAGGTTAAGTACTCCACTGAACGTTCTACGTTACTTTACGCATAAGTTATAGGTTGCGTGTTTTAACTTCATTCGCATGACAATAATCGTGACGTTACAGCCAATATTCCACGTCGATTCGAAATACAAATACCTGTTATGTAATAAATGCAGAAAAAAAACGTTCATTTTTTTCCTTTCCAAAAGTCGTATAGAATGTTATATAAGTATGAAAGGTTTTTCATGAAGCCGCATATATTGGACACACCGTATATATACCTGGCAAGCCTCCTATGTATAGCGGAGCATCGATCTCGTCCATGAGCGAGTTGAGCTCCGATTGCACCCAGCTTTTCCTGATCCCGTCCACCATAACTGTCAATTCGGAACTGGAATACATGGCGGTGACGTTATGCCAAACGTTGTCGCATAACGCATAGTCCCAGTTCAAATTGTTAGTTACGTTCGAAGTCGCGCCGTTACCCATGTTGACCGTCATCACGACAGCCCCATTTTGAAGCTCCACGGATAACGCGGGGTAGTTATCGTAGTTGGATACGCTGAGGAAAATGCCGTTTTGTTCCGCGGAGCGAAACTGGAAGCTGAGCTCCAGAATTTTGTTTACCCGGAAGCTTTCTTCTGCAAAATAGTGGGGTTAAAGGTGTGCTAGTTAGTTTTGACAATTTTGAAAGATGCTATTATCAAATTCCTCGTTTCAGTAATAGACTATATTTTTTTGTTTTGTATATTAAGTACTAAACATGAAGAAAAATAAAGTTATGACCTATAGCGCGCTGGATCTCGTTCATTCTGCGCATGCGGTGTCTTATTCCGCTTAAATGATATGCAAGTGCTTATAGGCTTGGAAATGTGATCGTTTTGCTGTTCTTTCTCAATTATTTATAGATACTATAATTTTAAATGTGGGTTTTGGTGTTTGGTTAAATTTTGAATGAGGTTTTCAGTATTTATAGGATATAGGATGATGCGTATGCCCAGATTGACACCGATCGAGAATAGAGGTCCATTGTAGTTATTTTCCGACTGCAAGTAAAAGTTTGTGTGAAAATTTGTTTATTTAGCCACAACAAATAAAAGTGTTTGTCAATGAATCAGAGTTGAGATTATCAACACTGTTCTACTGTTTTGAAATCATAAAATGGAAGCTTTCCTAGCTGGTATGGTAAATATAGTTTCAACTAAAGGTCAAACTGGACATGACGACTACGACTACGACTGACCGACTAAATAATGAAACTACGAAATGACTAAATGACGACACTCTGACTTATTGAACAACTCGTGTGTAGGACATGAAAATCGTAAATACTTGAATAAGCAAAGCAAAGCTTTTGCCCTGCTGAAAGAAAAAGTAGTTGTACTGGTATTAAGTCACTTTCTTTTAATCAGTTCTTTCTCAATTGAAGATATTAAACTATGGTGGCGAAAATTTTGGGTTTGAATTTATGTGGAAAGAATGCTGGATATCAAGAGAGGTTTTACTGAATCAACAAGCGATGACATACCATACAGAAATCCGTATTTAAAGAAGAAGAAAATAATTTATGTGATTAGGAATGTTCCTCTTAAAAACTATTCAGGAATCCTTGGCAGTGTTAGTACACAAAAAAAAATGAGCTCGCATAGGGTCGTCAAAATGATGTCGAAAATGACGTTATATATAACGTCAGCAGGACGTGAATTTGACTTACTAATGTCTCAGATGAATGAGGTCATTTAAGTGAGGTCTTTTTTACGTCAACTTAAAGTCAGATTTTGATCATTACTGCTGAAAAATATAACGATTTTTAAATTGTCTTTTTCTTGGGGACAATCGAAAATAAATTAAAGTAAGTGAAGTAAGTAAAGTAAATTAAATTACATAGAACATCTTTTGAGGTTGCAGAAAATGGAGAATTATGGTTAATAAATACAGATGAGCCTTTCTTAAAAAAATGTATATATAAAGTATATATAAGGTATATAAGTCTTCCATTTCATTTTTTTCACGAATATTATGTGTAGACTGTACCAATTTAAAAAATTGTTGACATAATAAAATTACAGCTGTCGGAAACGTCATAAAAAATATAGGATACTAAACACAGGGCATTTTTGACGAAAAAATGGCCAAAAATCCGAAAACACTCAGTATAGTAGAGAACATCTATTATTTTCCGGAAATTATATAAAAGAAAATAATTGAAAATAAATTGTTTATTTCAATCTCAACAAAAAAAAAACAAATAATAAACCAGATATATTACTTTGACAATTTAAATAGAAAAACTTAATCATAGTTTAAATTAATTATTAAGTTTAAAGTCCATATCTGGAATTGATCAAGTTATTTTATGACGACATTCTGAGCTAATTTTTGTGACGTCAATATGACCTGTTTTTCGGACCACTGACGAGTACCGACCACTTATAACTCGAAAATGTCATCACTTTGACGAGCCTCCGCTACCTGTGATCTTGTTAACACACTTTTATGGGTTTGAATTTCTGAGATAATCGATGTTCTTGCAAAAATAATCCGGAATCTTTTGTAGTAGACAAAACAATAAGATCTCTTTTAAACCAATAATGCCGAACACTTGTTAAGACTAATACTGAAAAACAATATTTTTTTGGATTTGAATTGGAGGTTAGCGATGTCCGCAGTACAAATTAAACCGAAATGCCGGGTTGCACAGTTTGGCAACCTGGCACCAGGGCCAATCTAATTGCCGAAAGATCAATCAGTGGCACGCAGTAGCATCGTTTATCAAATCTTTGGAGCAATTTTTCTGCAACCATCATAACGAGTATTTTTGTCATTTTTCCTTCGACCTTGAAATTAATTCAATAAATTATGTGATGTTATTTGAATAACACCCAGTATACCAAAACTCTAATTATTAATAGTATAGTTAGTAATAGTATAATATGAACGTAAACCTAATCAGTTGAAGACATTTTAAACTTTATCGTAGCCATGACTTACTGTAGATGGCGTAGGCGTCCCCACCAAAATACGCGCCCTCTTCCACTTTTGGGAAACACTGCGTGGGATTTTTGTACGTCACGTCTTTGGTATTCTTCCCCAACAACTTTGCTTCCCCGTTGATTAGTAGATTTTTGAAGCAGCCTCGGAACGGCATTATCTTATCTCTCTGAAAACATCAACAGTATGTCACATCTAGCCGCGAATTGGACGACGATCCTTACGAGTTCAACGTAGTCAGTGTAATTGGGGGGCACGCCCCCGAAAAATATTTCGTTCCTGACGACGTTTTTCGGAATTCGCACCGGTTTACGACCTTCGCCGTCCAAAAGGGCTTGCACCCTCTTGTTGTTCTTCTTGACGATCTTAATTTTGTGCCACTCGCCATCGTTCACCCTCTTCGCGAACGTGATTGGCCAGTGTTTCACGATTTTCCGCCTGCCCTTCGCGTGAAACGACACCCTGCCTTCTCTGAGCTCGAGAAAATTGTAATGAGGCAAGCCGGTGTTTCCCTAATAAAATAAATGTCGGTAACGTCTGCGCGTTTCGGGTGACGTCACAAATAACCACAGAAATGACAAAAATGAGCTCTTTGCGTGAATTCTAAATTTAAAACATTATAAATAATTTTTTACAAATTTTTCTACAAAATTCTATGCTATTGTATTGTATTCTTTTTCTACTCCCGTCTGTAAAATATCTAATTAGACACCGATCTAGCGTGCGGGAAGCGTCACTTTACCACAGCAGTTTCGTTTCCTACGGATCCGAGCCACTTCGGACATTTCCGCGATTTTACCGCACGGGTTTGGGAGCAATCGGATGTTCTCGGAGATATTTCCCACGCTTTGAATTTTGACGTTTGTCAATTCTGACGGCCATGCCAGTGAATGTATTTGTAGAAAAAATATAGTATGCAACACGTTCGGTAAACTTTTTAACTCACTCGTGAGCCAAATACCGTTTAGCGCACTTGTTGCATAATATACTATTATCTCTGACAAAATCAAAAAATGACAAAGCAACGTCCTTTCACAAACAGATGTATGAGCTACCCTCCAAAAAATATGTAAATAATTAAAACTCATTAAACTCATTACATTTAAATTAAAACATTGAGTTTGCATCCATTAATAAACGTTATTTTTATAATGGTTAACATTTTTCAGTGCTCTATATGCCTAGACGACATTCTATGTCACAAATTAATGCCCAATGCACATCTATTTTTTGTCTAAATTTTTGTTCTCAGGGATATATTTTTTCTTACTAACGTAACTTAAAAGGCAAAATATAGTGATGAAATGGTAATATTTTAGGTTGATTTAAAATGGTCGACAGGAAGCTCTCGGACGAAGCTCTAAGATAAGTTTTTGTAAAATAAAAATATCTGATGCCGTTCTGGACGGCTCCAAAAAGCAAATTCTATAAATAGTTTATAATGCTCCCTTTAGCTCAGGCTCTAGATAAAGTCTCTGGAATTTTACGATTCGTTTTGGAATTGTTTTCCTATCAAGTCCAAAGACTCTTTGTTATTAGTAGTTTTAGAAAAGAAAAACAGATTTTCATTGATCCTTCCATTCCCGAATATCCCAAAGACAAACCAAAACTGGAAATGTCAGAGAGCACAGAAAAATCTCATATTCGTTACTTAAAATAAGTTATAGGTTATGTGTTTTAACTTAGATCGCGCGAGAATAGTGCGTTGTGACGTCACAGTCTATTTCGTCGCTTTTCGCGAGTTCCAGTACAATTAAACTTCAAATAAGTGTGCAAACATTTTGAGTTAGTATATTTCAAATGTTATGTTAGTGTGCGCACTGTTATTCCGCGGTTACACTTACAACAGATATGAAAAGGACCCCGTTAGGATAGAAACTTCTAAACTCGAATTCGATTTTGAAGTCTTTCTTCCAGAATGCGGTTTTGATTTGAATATAGCTATTGGATTTGTCCCCCAGCTTGACGGCGTTCGGGTCTGTTTGATAGTTCGCGGTGGTTGCGCAACCTTGTGTGTTTTGCATCGTGTTGGTAACATTGACGGCACCGATCAACCCTTTCAGGACGACCGTTTTCCGCATCAGAGGGATTTCACGGCCGATTTCCGCGTTGGTGAAGCTCGTTACCGTTTTTGCGCTGAACAACACCCTTCTGCAATTATAATATACGCTATAGGATACCATAGGGCCTTTCCCAGTTGATTATTTCTGAGAAAGAAAACGATGCTTTCTATTCAAATGAAAATAAGGACTTATGATGTTTCTACATTTGCGGGATTTTTTTTGCGGAACCTAACCTATCAGAGAAGACAAGACTAACCGTGTCTACTTGCATGAACAAATTGGACCGGAAATGCAGCCAAGTTTTTTTATACATTTATTATTACGCAGATTCCGACATATCGACTAAAAACAAAGCACTTTTTATTAATCTGGTTTCGAAAAAGGAGAATTGATAGAATTTCTGTAATATTATAGTAGTATCAATATAATTGCTTAATAAAAATTCTTCTTGATATTTCCATGGTCCTATTTGTGTTTCTTTTTTATTTATTGGACCCGTTGCGAAGTTATTAGTTATTGCGAGAATACATAAAACATAAAAACTCTGTACGGGGAATTGTAGAGACTTGCGGTAAAAAATTGTGACCAAAAGGAAATAGTAGAAACAATTTTCAAGGTCAAATTTATACCGCTAGGGCCAGTTAAAGCTATGATCGGTTAGAAAATTTTACTAAACAATGTTTTATTATAAATTTCTAAAAAAATACAACCACTCTAATCTTTGTAAAATTCTGCACCCTTTTGGCTTATCATGTAGAGCATGAAATAAGGTTGTGACGAGAACGATGATGAGAAATGTCTGACTGAAATGTCTATTACATTAGTTTAACTTAACACATTTGAGTAGGTCTCGTTTAAGAGACAAAAATCATACCGGTGACAAACTTGTTTTCACTACTCGCGCCAGAGGGCCGCAATATATAGTTATTTTACGTTTTTCCAAAATTTCAAATAGAAAGATACAATTATTTCAACAGAAACAAAAAGTAGATCAAATTTGCAAGAAAAAACATTTAAACCTCATATCGACCACTTCTCGCGTTTTAGAGTTATTGACAAAAGAGCTTTTTTTGATATTTAAAATAATAAACTGTATTTAAAATTTGTATAACTGATCATGACAAGACTAAGCTAGTTAAATTGTGACTAATAAATATAAAACAATTTAAAGGACTGATTTGAATAAAACATCTATCTTCAACTAGAATGCGTCGAATAAAAATTGGACGTGCCTGTCAAAACAGTTTGCACACAGGTGAACAGCGAGTCCGTCAGAAAAAGTGCAAAATTTTAATTTTGTCTAGCTAATATTTTTAAATTATTGCCTGATATTCTAATTTAGGAGAAATATAACGATAAATATTGTAGTAAAACCTGAGATAAGCTTCGTTCAAATTTTTGAACCAAATTTCGTAAAATAGTTGGACCATTCGTAAGTCGGAATTTGTGTTATTATTACGGTTATTTTAATTGTTGTTTCAATTATTTGCAATAATAAAACATTTATTACTTTAGTCATTTAAAAAAAAACTATGAACGTTTCAATTGGCGCCCTCTAACGGGAGTAATGAATACTAGTTTTTCAGAAGTATGATTTTTTCTGAATATGCAAGGCTTTCTCTTTTAAACGTAACTTAATTTGCTTAAATATGCTGAATTAAACAAGTGTTATTCATTTACAAATTATTACACAGGAAGAAAGTAAAAGATGGTCTTGCCTAGACATAAAAAGTGGAGATCTACAAGGCTGTATTTTAGGTCCTGTTTTTAATTTTCACAACAAAATTCAAGCGTGTTTTTGACCCCTCTCGCTCAGAGCTCGAAAGCCAAAATTTCAACAGCGACCTTGAACGAATTGACAAGGTTACTAAAGATTATGGATTGCTTTTAAACTCAAAAAAATCTATACTAATGTTTTTCGGTCGAGTTGTGGATGTAAAGCGTCGTGCTTCTGAAGTATTCATAACAATAGGCAATATTACTCCCGCCATTAGAAAACGAAGCAATAAAATTGAGGTTAGTTTTAGACATTTAAAAAAAATGCTGGAGGTTCATTTACGGCATCCGTCGAGGCTCTTCGCACAGGTCTGGTATAGTTACTACTTGGCTAACGTATATAATGACCTGCGTCAGTTTCTTTAGAATGAGAAAATGAATTCTTTTCCAAATAAACTAGTTAGAAAGGTGGGGCTTTTTTCCTTTCTATATTATTATTATTATTATTAAGTAATGAATTTTTCTATCGGACCATAGCTATTGACACATATTTTAGCTTGAAAATTACTTGTACTATTTTGTTATGGTCATTTTAGTAATAAATTATTTTCCCCACAAATGAGTAAAATTCTTACTTCGCTTATTTGCCCACCCTGTACAGACATTGCAGGTAAAGGCTTCGATATTTGCAAAAAAAAATACTTACTCGTTATTGATCATTAAGTCGCTCAGCCCACCGTTCAGTTTGTTGTAATTTTGCGCGCTGCCTATTATTACATTCAACGTTTCTGTTTTTTGTATGTTTTCTGATTTGTTTCGGTAGATCACTTCGTCTTCACCGTTTATAGTCAGACTGATCTTATCCTTCTTAAACACTATAGACACCACATTGTAGTTACTAAGGGTTAACGGTCTAGTGGAACTGTAGCTTTCTTTCTTCAGATCTATTTGGAGCAGTCGGTTGGATAGAGAAATGACGCCGAATTTCTCTATTTCCATGATGGCCACGTACGAGTTCAAAGGCCTTACGATAAAACTTATAGACTCCAGTTTTTGGGTGCCTTTCGACGCAAAAAATGGAATATTTAAACTCACAAAACCGTTGCCGTAAAACCATGCCTTGTCCAGTCGGAGCTAAACATAATAGAACAAAATGAATAAAAACTATTTCAATTTTTTTTTCAAAGAAACTCCCACAGGGTACCACACTGCTATTTACGAACGTTCTGCATTCCTCCTGTATGGGTTATTTTGTAATTCAAACATGCCGAATTTTCGAACGATTCTGTTGGTTTTTTCAGAGCTTAACTTTAACAACTTTACTTTCACCAATATTGGAATCAGTCATCCGAGGCAATGTTCATGTCCCTCCTTTAGGTCCGCCCCTCAAACAATATACAGTGTGTTCCACTTAATGTACACCCTTGTAAAATCTTTGTTTATGGTTCGATTTTGATAAACTGTATAGGCCTCTGAAAAGTGCAGTAAAACCTTGTTTTGCTTATTGATTAAAAGCCACGGTCAACTGAGTTTTTTAACAAAAGAGAGGAAAGAGAGACATACTATTAGGGATTAAAAATAAATAAATTGGCAACGAATTCTTATTCAGGAGTACTTAGAACCCAATTAAACCAATTTTTATAAGATTTCTATACTGGGTGTTGGAAATATCGTTTGCGCCCCGCTTAAAACTGTACATCGTCGAAAAATCTTTGATTGCGGTTTGATTTTAATATATTTTTTTGTTGGATAGATCTCTTAAAAAAGTACGGCAACTTTATGTTTCTTATTACATCAACCTGAAGTCATGGCTAATGTCAAATATCGAAAAGGGCTATTAACAAATAAATAATAAATTGGCAACGAATTCTTATTCAGGACTAGATAAAACCTAACTATACTAATTTCTATGAAATTCGAATACAGGGTGCTCGAAATATCGCAGACGCTTCCTTTAAGCATTACTCCTGTAGAATGTTTGTTTATGGCATAATTTTGATAATTCTTTTTTGCTGGATAGCTTTCACTGAAAGACACTGAACTAACCAACGATTTATATTATTTTATATATTAAACGAACTTAATGGAAATTAGTATAGTTAGGTTTTATGTAGTCCTGAAAAGAATTCGCAGCCAATTTATTTAAAAAAAATCCCTAATAGTACTTTTCTGTTCCCTCTCATTTGATAAATAGTCCCAGTTGGCCATGACTCTAAGTTAAAGCAATGAGCAAAACAAGATTTTAGTGCATTTTTCAGAGATCTATCCAAAAAAAAAAATCGAAATCGATCCATAAACAAAGATTTCACAAGGGTGTACAGTTCTTAAGTGGTTCACACTGTATACGCAGGTACAGAGTAGAATGTTAAGTTAAGCTCTGAAGAAGTTATCAGGATGATTGGCGAAACGCCAGCAAGTTGGCTTTATAAACAACCGACGCAGGAAGAATCCAGAAGGTTTGTGAACACTATTTTATATTTTTTTCTTTTAAGTGTAAAGTAATAAAATTGTAATAATTAAGAAAATAATAAGGTAAGTAACATAAAAAACGGGTTAAATTTATAGTTCCTAAAACGGAGGTAAATAGATTTTTTTTTCAAATAACTCATTCAATTAAATTCATTCGGAAAACTTTATCTATTTGCATTCCTTGTACTAGAGATATATATGAAGCAAAAATGAAAAAAAAATCAAATGTTCCATTCAAAATGCACATGCGTAACATTTAAAATCTCTAACGACCAACGGATCATCAATAAGTTTGGATGCTGCATTTTCACGGCAGCATTTTCTCAAAAAGAGTGATCAAGTTAACAATACGGAAATAATACGATTCAGACAAAATTTGGTAAGTAAATTGAAGTTTGTAAGAATAAATAACAATTTTGCTTTATGCTGATTGCCTCTGAACCAAGAAGATAATTTGTTGGAGCATATCTGGACAGTTTATCAAATTATTTAATCATAATTATTTAATAAATGCACAAGCGCACATTCATCTTGATTTCAAGCTTGGAATAACAAAATTGCCTATGATGTTACTATTTTGCACACTCTCAATAAGACTCTTATGTGTAGTATATAATATGGACGCCATATAACTGAACAGTACTGAAGTTTAGATATGATAAAACGTTTAGAGAACTTCTAATGCACAGAAAGCTTTGTATTACCAATAACGTAAATAAATCTGATAAACATTTTTAATCAACATAAGCAAAAGTACGGGACCAAGATTGGAGCCTTGTGGTATTCTTGATGTTGCCAAGTAATACAATTTAAAAAGCAACGTTGCCGACGTGTGTTGTTACTTTACGTTCCTAAGAAACAGACTGCAATCCAGGTGCATCAACAGAGAAAAACCGTAATAAAAGATTCTTAATAGTGATTGAGAAATCGAGTAAGTGATCCAATTTTGATCAGTTTTGGTTTTCACATAAACAAATAAAAAAAATATTTCCTTTTAGTTTATTTACTTTCCCTATAACAGAACAGTGACATCCAATTCTGCTCATCATGTACACGCCTTCACTTACATCTCCTGTTTTCTCGGTGACACCTGAAGACACGGTCTCGTTGCTGAGTTCTTCGTTGCTTAAAAATCCCAAAAACGGTTTGACGTTGACGTTCAGACAGGACGAGTTCAGCGTAGGCGATAGTCCGCCCGTAAAGTGATGAGCGCGTTTTATCCGAAATACCGCCCTGTTGTCCAACTTCTCGTCGGCGAGGGTGGTAGCGAAGTCAGTTTTCAAACTGTAGTGCTGCAGGCGATTGCTATACGCCATAGCTACTTCCGCGTAGTAGTTATGGCCGTCGTTGAACCTCTCTTCAGTTTTCAGGGAGACTGTTTTACCGTTGTTGTGTTTGGCTTCAAATTTTAGGCGGCCATTTTCCAGTGTGAGCGCTATGTATGCGCATGGATTCTGCAGATATATTAAAAAAGGACTCATTGGCTTCGCAACGATAGGAATTGAAATACATGTTAAAGTAATTTGGATCGATCTGAATAATTTGATAAGCTGTGCGCCAATAGGAAACACTACTCAAAAAATTTTTGCGTATCGCATTCAGTAGATAGTCGAAGAGGAGTCTGAGACAATCAGGTCGGATTAGGATTTGCGATCCGGTAGTCTCGAATTAAGTTGTTAATTTTCGGGGATAGCTGGTAGAACCATGGTCGTTACTTATGTAACAATTGAGAGAGCTTTTGATAAAAATTAGATAATGAACAAAATATTTGGGGTCTAAAAATGATACCAAAATGGGAATATCAGTAAAAGTACTGAAAGTAGTAACTTGTATAGGGTGGGTCAATTTTATTGGGAGTCTACCTTACCTCAAAAACTATAGGGGAAGTTATATACAAAAGTTAATTGGGGTATTACAAATCTTTAATTTATTTGAATGTTGTATATACAGCGGGTTTCATTTTTCGTGGGCAAGCATCAACTTTCTTATCTTAAAGGAACACCTGGTATATTACTTCATTTTTGAATGCTATACAAAATTTTGACATTTTTAATTTTTTATGCAAAAAATTACGTTTGCAAGACATAAAATATCTGCCAATTTCTTCATTCAGAAGCATTTATTGTTTCTCTTGAGTAAGTTTTGTTGTTGACAAAAGACTCGAAATTTCGATACATATTAATACAAGGTACGCGAAAAATAAGATTAAAAAAATTGACATACAACTTTTTTTTTAATGGAAACTACCTATTTTTATAGTCTTGTCATATTTAGCTTTAAAAATTAAGACAATTCTATATAAGGTTGTATATGACTAATATTTTTACTTTTTGAAATATTTCCTTTTAAACATATGCGGGTGACATATAAGTTCTGTAAGTGTAAGGTGGCTATGAAGGCGTTTAAACAAAACAAGTGCTAGGACGCTGCCTCCTTGGGCGTGTTTTTTGTTGTTGATTACTGTCATAATTCAAATATTTTTTGACACATTACTGATTTATATATTTATCGTTTATAAATTTAATTTATTGGTTTGCTTGCGTATCATGTTTACCACAGAGAAAAACATTAATATGTTTGAAAGTTACATATCCAACAATAAAAATCGGACCCTGGTTCTTAGAGATTATATAACAAAATTTCCTTTGAGGAGGCGCCCAGAAAGAAAAGATCTTCGAAAGAATTTACCAACACTTTAGAATATATGGAACCTTGAACAAAGAAAAAAAAAAACGGCGTCGTCATATTTTCAATGATGAAGAGCAACTTAATATTTTGTTGCATTTTGCAGAGACCCGTGAAGATTCAACCCGAAATGCGTCTTTAGATCTAAATGTCAAAAGAACGACGCTTCGAACGTGATTTTAAATAAACAACTGGGATTACAACATCAGGTTAGATTTTTGCAACAATCTTGTTGAGAGACACTTTTCAGAAAGTATACTGGATAGATGCGTCCATATTTACAACCTCAACTAAAAGTATCCATTACTAGAGCAACAAGAATAATAAAAAACATATGGAATTTCTTTCCAAGTATGGTGCGCCATTTGAAGGTTCAGAATAATAAGTTCAGTATTTTTTTTATCAAAATTTAAATATTATCCATCGCTTTGTTGAAAATTAAGTGCCTGAAAGGGAACGACAAAATTTAATTTGGCAGCAGGATGGCGGTCCTTATCACAGAAATCAAGAAATTTGCATTTATTTAAATGCATATAGAGAATGGATTGGGGAGAAGGGTAGTTACGGCTGGTCTCCAAGGAACACCGATTTATTTCCCTTAGATGTTTTTCTATGAAGCTTTAGTTTGCAAACACAAACAACCGAGGAATTTAAACGTCGTTGGTCTTATTCTGTATAAATAATACATACATACATTTACATAATCTTTCATCCTAAGCGCATCGGCAAGATTATGGTCAACTATGAAATGGTATATCATAGTGGCAGCACTTTAGCACTTGTTTTGTTCAAACGCCGTCACAGCCACTTTACTCTAACTGAACTTGTATGGCAACAGCATATTATTTGTGTTTGACAAATGTTTGAAAGGAAATATTTCAAAAAGTAAAAATATGAAGCATATACAACCTTATTTATCTACAACGAAACTTACTCAGCTGAAACAATACATGCTTCCGAATGGAGAAATTTGCATGTTGCAAACGTTATTTTTCGCATATAAAATTAAAAATGTCAAAAACGGTTAGACTTAGGTATAATACAGTATAGACAAAATATGTCTAGAATTTGGTATAGAATTCAAAAAAGTAATATTCATTTAAAATTATACACACTGTATATACAAAATTAAAATAAATTAAAGGTTTGTAATTCCTTAATTAACTTTTGGTGCCATCACCTATAGCAATAGTTGTTTAAAAAAACATCAGGCTTACTGTTACTCATATCGTCTAGGGAAATATTTTGGGCTTCGATGGTGACCAAATAAAAACCAAACTTCCAATGGGCTAGGAAGAAAGTGAAAAGTGAAATTTTCAGATCCATATTTAGTGTACTACCCCCCAACATTTTCATATTAAGCGTTTTGTTATTGAAACTTGACTTACTTCAATTTCTTGGGCGAGATAGATGAGACTGTTCTCGTCGAACGTGGCAAAGTCGTATCTCAAATTGAATTTGGCGGGCGTCAATCGAGGTGCAGTTCCGTACATTCGATATCCGTTTCCCGAGTAGAAAGGTCTCGCACCTTCGCGTTCCCGTGTGTTGGCTCTGAGAGATGAGATATCGCGATAGTACCGTTTACCACCCAATTGACGCTCGGATCTTACCTGGACAGCCCCTTACATTTGCCCCACGTTTTGGCAAATTTCCACAACCCTACGTCATCGTCGTTAATCGTCAACTTGTAGACGTACGCGTTGGCTTGCGTCATAAGACCGTCGCCTATTTGAATGTAGTCACCTGAATCTATCACTAACAGTTTGCTTCCGATCTGAACCTTTCGCCAGTTGATGTCTTCGTCGAATTTCATTTGAAGCAGAGAACCTACTCTGGAGGAGTAAAAATTTTTGAACTCTCGCTTACTAATACAAAAACCATATACACCAACAGCTAATGTAATGATATTATACAGGGTGTTTCAAAATTCAGTGCAAATATTTGAAGGACATATCTATCAGCCAAAAATAAGTTATTTTTTTATTTAAACTGATGTATTAACTTACTTCGTTTTCAAGATACAAAAGAAAACGCGTAGACTAGAAGCGTAGATTTTGCGTGTTTACTGTGCGTAATTAAAATACCATATTTCTTTCATTGATATTTATAGATGAAATGGTGGCACGCTACTGATTTTTTGAAGATTTCGGAATTTTTTTGTTGTTTTGTTTTTTTGTTTTGGTTTAGTTTAGTTCATTTTTATTTTCTTAAATCGAAGTGAATTACTTAAAAAGTAAAAAAAAAGCTTGTTTAATAAAAAAATCAGTGGCGTACTATAATTTTACCTATAAAAATCTTATTTTTGTCTAAAAAATATAACCTTCGAAGTTTTGTTTTTAATTTTGAAGCGCCCTGTATATCCAAATAATATTCGCAGGCCTAAAACCCGACAGGTATAACGCCATCACCTTAAAAAATTTAAATCGCTAATCACTCTTCTACGTACTATTCTGACTATTTTGCGTTATGGTGGGGATAAAATTGGTTCCAACCAATGCAAGCGCACTTATTTTGGAAAACGTTGACTATATCGACGAAAAATACTCGGTGGTCCAAAATTACTAGAGTGCGGAGACTAATGTTTCTTTTATGAAATTTATTTCCTTTCAAAGCGACAAATACATCATTTCTATCAGAACTGAGAGGTTAGCAAGTAGCAATGAGCTCAATTGAATGGTGATTAATTAGGGCAGCAAACATTTTCATCAGTTCAACGCTTACCTTTCTATAAACAAAGTTCTTTCCATTTTGGTAAAGTCGTCCTTCTCGGTGGAAAGTTCCACTTGATCTTCGTCGTCCAGCGTAAGTATGGCTCTGCCGTTCGCAATTCGGAGCTTTAAAATGCTCTGGGGATTTTCCCATGTCAGTAGGTGGCAATTGATACACTTAAACGTGATGGCCATGTTCCTCAGCACTTCCGTTTTCGATAAACTATAGTACATCGAGCAGTTTGATAGACCGATCGCGACATTGACCTAAATTCGCAAAACTATTGTAGATCTGTTGGGTTAGAAATAACGCGACTATATGGTCTCACCGAGTCTGCCACTTGCTTCGCGTACAAGATTTTATTCTGCAACTCTTTAATTCGAGAAGTTACCGCCTCCAAGTCGGGTCGCCTGTCTTGGTCGTCCCGATGATTCTCGGAACCAGAGACTTCGAGACTTTTGAATATTTGCCGCAGCAACTTTTCGGTTTTCGTGATATTGTCTTTCATTTTATCGATTTCTGAAATCAATAGTTGAGATATTTAAACATATTTGTAATTCTGTAGGATAGGAGTAATACATAAAATGCTATTATGAATATGACGATATTATGACGACCTATTCCTACAGATTTTAGAAAGTTCAAGTTCTCTTTGGTAATTGAAGTATACGTACCTTCCTTGGAAGTCAAGTTGAGATACTCCTGATACTTCTTAAACAAGTCGTACCTGGTCGAAATGTTCAAATTGGATATTCTCTTGTCGATCAGCCTCATCCGCTCAGAGATATCAGAACTATTTTGAATTACCTCGTACAATTTTTCAACCGTGTCCCCCTGACTAGTTATCCGGAACTCGAGGTTGCGCAATACTTGATTCAAATCGTTGTTCGCTTTGCCGGTTTCGAGCAGTTGGTACTTGAAATCACCCAGTTTATTTTTAATCGCGTTAAAGCCTGCAAGTAGGTTAATTGTACCAATTTTTCGACAGAATCAATTATGGCTCACTGTTCGTGATATCCTTCAAGTTCACAATCCGGTGCTTCAGCCTGTCCGATTGAGCGTGAGCTAAATTGGTTTTGTCTATCAACGTATCCGAATCCTTGGGGTCTAAAATATTAAGAGCAGTGGACAACAGCTTTCTGGCTTCATCTGCAATTTTCCTGGCCGATTTAATCCCGTTCGCTATTTCTTCGTACGCGCCACTGGCTTTTATCGTTTTCCACTCGTCTTTTGTAAAATTGAAAATGCTGAAAATATCCATAAACCATCACTCAAATTTAAAGAACGGAGTAAAACTAATCAAAGTAATAGTCTTCCGAGTGTTGTACCACGCCAATCCTGCTAAATTTTAATACAAAATGTTTTGCTTTACTTAGGGTGAATTCTTAAAGCGGTTTCAAACAGTCACTAGCGACAAAACTCACATATGCTAGTGTAAAAAAAAAGGTTTTTGTTAAAACCTGTTTTTCATAGGAAAAACTAGTTCTATGAATCCTTTGCAGTTAATTTTTCAAAGAAACTTTCACAAGTTACTGTAATACTATTTACAAGTCTTGACGAAACGACAGCAAGCTCAATTTATCAATAACCAACGACGACTCAGGAGAAATCCAGAAGATTTGTAATGGTAAATAGAATTGTCTGATAGGCTTCCTTAAAACTCAATATTTTGTACGACTTAAATTTTATTAGGTAAAACTAGTTTTACTAAGCTAGTAAATCATAGCCCATGCTGGGTGCAGCACATCATTTGATGGTTTGTTGGGATTGTGCTGGGGGATTGTTTTGCTGTACCGCCTACTCTAAGGATTACTATGTCTGACGTTGCCCATAATCAGCAGAAAAATGAAATTATATGGGAATGATCTTACAAATAGAACAGAAATAAAAGAATAGAAAAGAAAGAAAGTCACAGCACCGTTATGACATAATACGTGGAAAATAAATTGATGGCTGAAGTACAGGAAGCGGAATTCACAGACTAAAGAAGATCGTTATAATATAGAAGCTTTAAAAGATTTAGAATTATTTAGCTTAACGAAACAAAAACACAAAATAGTTTCCAGAACTAGAAAAAATTTTATAAATATTATCTTCTTGCTGAACAATTTTTTGACATTATTGAAGCAACACATATTGCTATTAAACAGAGACAGATTGAAAACCGAAACTTCAAGAAAATACCTAAATATACCTTAATTAGTAATAAATATTTGTGTGCAATTTTCCAGCACAAAAAGAGTGAGAATGAAAGGGGTCTCTTTTCCTAACTTATACTACATTCATAAATGAATAGCCAAGCAGACTTAATAAATATCTGGTAACAGCCGGTGGTGTGTAAGGCTACTTTGTGTCAGTAGCAGAAACTAACACCAACTGGCGATTCCGGATCCCTTAGTCTTCCTCAGTCTTCCTAAGGTCTTACTGATTAGAAAACTCGGACGCTCGATCTATATTTGCCAACCAAACAGAGAGGGAATAAGTAAGGCTAAATGGGCTGTATATGTTATTAAAAGATGGATGGATATGGACTTCGTCGATAATCAGGAGAAACATGCTGAAAGTTAGGAGGGAGATTTTGATTTGATAGGAGCAACATATGACATATGTGATAAGACGTAGAAATCGCCGCTATTCGTGGAATCCTGTATAGCCCTTAATATCCACGAAGTTGTGATAAGATCCCAAAAAGTGCTTAGAACGCTCCCCATCCAGCCGTGTACATTGGCGATTTTAACGCCGCCAGAAACTCTAGAAATACCACACCTCTGACGACAATGGAGGAAGCCTGATAGGATAGGCTGAAGAAAAAAATATTGAAATAGTATGTGACGCCAAGAACATGAGCACATTCAGGTCGGCAGCATGGACTACTGAAACTAACTCAGATATCTGCTTTGTTAACATCCCGCAAGGTGTTGACTAACTTGCCGCATTTCCAGCATTGCTCTACATTAGTTGAAATTGGAACTGCCATACCTATCATTAAATCATTCCCGAGACCTGAACTATGGAAGAGCTAACTGGCATTTTTTTTCCACAAACGATTTAACGGAACAGTCATCAGCTCAGCCAAAGAAGCTATTCCCAGAGGTTACAGAATAATAATATTTAATAATATTAAGGCATCGAAAAGAGGGAAAATCATAAGAATAATAATTAAATTTCATTAGCAACTCTCAGGTAATTTATCTCTATTTGTTCCAGATCAGAATTTGACTTTTCGAAAGAAAAGTTTGTGAAAGTTAAACAAGTACCCAAATACAGTGGATTTTGCACGTTACTTTTACCAGAAGACTTACAACAGTAACATATGCTTCTATAACCATGCAGAAACAAATAAACGATATTGTCGAGGGGAACTTTTAGATATTTTTCCATGAAGTGATTCACTAGTTTTAGAGTTTTTTGTATAACTAACTTTTGAGTAATGTCTTTGATTTGTTTCATTTAATTTTTGTTTTATAAAAGTATACATTTTGGTACACAACAAACGTGATTTGAGTTACACCTGGAATTTACTTATATGCTGAGCAAAAACTAGTTTTAACCTAAATATTATGATGTATGCTATTATTCTAAGTAACTAGTTCTAACTATAATCAGGTTTTTACGGTAAAATAGATATAATTAATATCTGTGAAAATAGTAATTAAATGTTATTATTATTTGCTTACTTTTGATAATTCCGTACAGTATTTTCCAGTTCTTCGACATGTTCGGCAGCCCGAAGAAAGAGCTCTTCCAGATCGTCGCTCTCGTCTCTTGCCGTATCCAGTTTCGTTTGCATTTCGGCGAGATCATCGAATTCAATGCTCGCCATATCTTCGCAGTTCCTCTCGATCTTCGATATAACATCAGCGATAGCGTTCATACTGACTTCGATTTCTTCGATATTCATTTCGTTGTTTTCTTTCAAACCGGTCAGATGTTCGATTTTACGCTTCAGGTTCGTCATTATCACGAAGCTTTGATCGTTCCTCAAGCTGACCAAGTCGCTGTCTTCCGCCACCTTTCTTGTGATTGCTTCTATATCGTTCAATTTTTTATTAAATTCGGAAAACAGCTCGAACGGCAACGGCGGTGTTATCTGGTATATTCTATCCACTTCCTCGCCCACCTTGTTGCAATAAGTGTAGGTGTGCAAGTGATGTTCCTCTTGTACGTCTACAACGTACAGATTCTCGTTGATGGCTCCCAAGATTTTGTTGGCCTTCTTTAGCGCTCCCTTCAGGTCCACCTGTTGTTTTCCAAAATTTTCCAAAGTAGCGACAACGTCGCGTATCCTCTTCTGAAACGACTTTATATGCATCACTAAATCATCAGAATCATTTTTTAAATGGTTTGATGTGTCTGTGTACGTCATCACATCGGCATTGAGACTCTCAGTTCTTCCCAGCAGTCGTTTCAAGGTCTCTTCGTCAGCGCTGACGTTTGACAGAGTCAAAATCTGTTCCGCCTTATTTATTTTGTAATTGAACGTTTTCGATAGCTGTTTGTTTCGCTTGATAAGTCCGTCTAATATTTTCCATGGCGGATGTAAACCGTCTTTGAACAAATCGTAGGCGTCTTCGATAGCTGCCGTCAGTCGGTCAATGTCACTAAACAAAAGCTGAGTGCATTCGTCGCAACCTAGTGGGTTAAAAATACCAGTTGACGGTGTTGGAGCGACATATTTAGTCCTCTAAATTTGTACAGGGTTCTCCACTCTATACGTCACGGAATGTTGCGGCCAAAATACAAAGTTTTCACGTAGTTTCAAAGCAAGTGTGGTAACTTTCTAAAATTACTTTTATACTAATACGGGTTGCTTCAAAAGTGTTAAAACCATCAAAGTTGTATTTATTGAAGATGGAAACCCCTGTATATTATAACATTTTTTGGGTTTAGCCAAATAAAAAATTTGAATTTTATCAACCAAAACTAACCTGTTTTTAATTTTTGTGATATATGTAAGTGAAATAAATAAAGTTTAACCATAAACCACATTTATATCTCAATCTCCTATCTTATATAGAGTGACCAAAAATTTATTCATACACAAGTTTTGATACGTTTAACAGTTATGAGACAACCTGAGAGTAATTTTAAAAAGTTGCCCTAATAGAACTTCATATATCACAGAAGTAAACCTTGGCATTTTGGCCACAATTGCCGTATAGTGTGAATACTTACTGTATACTTGGTATGAGTTACGATATTTTCTAGAGCAGTAAAACAGCATTCTGGAACGTGATTTTGTTGATTATTTTATTATTAATGAGTTATAGTCCTGATAAAGCGATAACTGAGGAAATACGGATGATTCTAACTCCTTAAGAGACAACGTTTGTCATTTGTCAAAAAGGATTATTATATTTAATTTTTCGATAGAGAGTCGGTAATGTTTGTTATTTGATGGTAAAAAAAGACAGTACAAAAATGTTAGCGAGGTCCTAGAGCTATAACCCTTAGACTAACCAAAAAGTGACTATTTTCTTTTATCCATAAAATCGTTCACAATGACGAAAAAAAAAACCTGAAATTTCGAGCGCTCAATATTATGAGATAAAAATATTTATTTGAATATAGCTTTATATGAAGCCTTAAACATTATTTGGAATTTGGAAATGACTCAATATATAAAAAAGAGCACTGTTTTTAAAGTTATTCAAGATTGACCTTGAAGAAAAAAAAGAAATCCTAATTTTCTTCGTTTTATTATTCATTGAAAGTTATAAATGGATAACATAATAATACGTAAATTTAACTCAATATAAAAGTTATTTATTGCATTGAGTGGGAAAATTTGGGTGAATATAAACAAAGATTTCATTTTTTCTTCAAGTTTCATCATGAATAATTTTTAAAAAAATAACTTTATAAAAAAATATTCAAGGATCTTTTTTGTAGAACATTAAATTCCCTTTAGAAATCAATATTGTTCTTTTTGTATAAAGAGCTGTTTGTTAGTTATATAATTCTAAAATGGAACAATTAAATTATAAAAATAACATTAATGCTTAACCCATTTTGTCCCAGTGGTGCGTTAATGCAGCACCTATTATATGATTTTTTTTTCACATTCAGGAAATATTTTGGCACATCCATTTAGAAATTTTATTATTATCGCTACTAAAGGATATAAAACAGTAGAAATCGCTAATTTATGTGTAAAGGAAAGATCTTATATATGATTTCAAAAGTTAACAAAAGGGGTACATAAATTTGTATCACATTTTCAAGTAAATCCAAAATATTACAAAAAAAAATTTTGGATTTGCATTGCCATTTTTGTTAAGTCTATAGCATATAGATTACATCGCAGAAAAAATACATTGGAAATACTTTATTGATTATGCTTTATTTTTTGAAAATATTTACTGGTGCGTGAATGCACCATTGGTTTTATCTGTGAAACAAAACTTTGTTATTGCAAGTCTAGACAAGTCAGCGCATGTAGAATAAACATCCAACAATTAGCGTGATCTTTAGTATTAGTTTGTGCCTTGTGCAGTGAACGTTGCAGTTCGTAAAATATGGCATTTCCGAGGTAATTCTTATGTATTGTAGCATTCCATTCCTTGTAAATTTATGCTAAAAATAATGTGAAAAAATATTTACAGAACATATTGACGCGGTCTATAGTCCACCCGACGTGGACTGACGAAGAAGATATGAACGATAACATAACATCTACAAGAGTTTGGGGAACCAACTGATATAGTTGGAACTTTCGAGTTATATTCACCGAATTATACAGCTGTCCTGTAATTCACCAACTGCTGAACCTGAATGGGACTCATCAGATGATAAAAGCCTGAAATTCAAAAGAAGACGTATGCTGTCTGCAAACGACATGCTTGCCTCTACTGTCAAATGGAAGAAAAGTCAGATTGAGTACACTCACACACATATATACGATGAATTTAGATCACATGAGGAACTAAAAAATAGGCTTTCTGGAGAAGCTCCGCTTGAAATATTTTTTTATGTTTTTTGATGACGGCCACAATTCCTGCAAAATGGTTATAAGGGGTAAGCTAGTTCGTTTTGGCTTCAAGCTTTGGTGCCTTTGTTCATCTGACGGGTACCTATTTTATTCACTTCCATATGGTGGTGCTCAAAATAAACCTCATTCTGATCTTGGTCTTAGCGGCGACGTTGTCATGAGTCTATTTTCTCTTGTAGATAATCCAGTAAATCATGAAATTATTTGTAATTTTTGTGTAATAAATGTCCAATGGAAAATTTTAAATCATTTGGAAAAAAGACCGCGGATCCTATCTTTCAGCACATGAATCTGAATCAAAAATTTCTATTGTCCGTTGGCACGACAATTCAGTTGTAAATGTGGCAAGTAATGTTTCTAGTGTAGATCCTGTCCAAAATGTAAAACGCTATAATAAAAAAGAACGGAAAGATGTAAATATACCCCAACCTTATGTAATTGCCCAATACAATAGATATATGGGTGGGGTAGATTTACATGACAACGGAATTGCTAATTACAGGTGCCAGGTATTTGGAAAAAAATGGTGGTGGCCTTCATTTTGTAACTCACTGGATAGTTTAGTAGTGAATACATTGAAATTGTATAATATTGTCACCGAACTAAAGATTTCCCAGGTAGATTTTTGATGACGAAGTGAATTATTTGATTTTAAATCTTACATTGCTTTGCGACTTTTAAAAACTGATAAAACAATTACTCAAAGAAATCTTGCACCTGGCATAGATGAAGTGCGTTTTAATAATCAAGGTCACGTCATGATTGTTCATGCTAATAAAGCCCAGTGGTTCGTTTACGCACCGGTATATTTTTGTATGTTTCGAGTTTTTATTTTTTTTTGACACATGTAATGTATTCTTAAGTGCAACAAAATAAATAATTTCAGAGCAAAAAAGTATTTTCTTATTTTTGTATGCTTGGGAAATTATGGGTTAAGGTTCGATTTCCTGAAAACGGTTTGTCTTGCAATTATGCACAAAAAATTGAAAATACATTAACATTCACAATTTTTTTGTCATTATGAATGATTTTATAGATATATTTTTCATAAAACACAATAGTCGATTTTTTTGACTCAGTCTAATGATCATCGTTGGACGTTTTCCAGCTAACTACAGTGCAGACTCACGAGTGCAAACTCCGTCTTTGATATATTCTCTCTGGTTCCTGCACTGGCCGCATTTAGGCCCTACGAACCCTTCTTTACATTGACATCTGCCGTCTTCATCGCAGGCGTCCGAAAAACTTCCGTACCTGTTGCAACTGCATACGACACACAGATTGCTGAACCTATCCCTGTAGTAACCGTCTTTGCAGTATTCGCACTTGCTTCCGGTATAACCTACATGTAGACCAGGCAGGAATAATGATAAATGGGGTTTCAGGATAAATTTGTTAATTTCTTGTGTGCGCCAAAATTCACCTGACATTTTTGGCCATAAAACCTGTCATGAATTGAGCAAGCCTTTCCTGTAGATACAATATTCTTTGGTACACTTAGTATCAAAAGATTTTGTTCATAAAAGTTTTTTCGTATGGTCATAATTCCACATTTTTTATAGTACTCAGCCTGCATTACCACAATAAACTCACAAATAAAATGTTCATTTAAGATGGACTGGTGATGTTCTTCGGAGATAGAAACTGTTTCGGGAATCCATAAGAAAAAAAATTTTCCCTCACATAAAACCTTTTTGTACTAAATCGCTTAATTCTTGTCTTGGGAGTTGGTAATTATTGCCTTAACAATCCAGGTTTACTAGTAAATTTTTTATCTGTCTTTCAAATTAGCTGTTTATCAAAATTAAAAAATTGTTCATTGGTGTTAATTTTTCAAAGAAACTTCCAGAGGCCATAAAAACAAACACCAAAAGAGGAAAAAATAAAACCTAACAGGAAAACAATAAGACTACTAATGAATTTTATTGTGTAATCAAATAAGTGTGGAGTTGTTAAAGTTTTACATAGTATTTTCCCTTATTTTAAAAATTAGATCTGATATTGGCTTATGGTTTATATTCAAAAAGGAATTTAAAGGGTAGCTCGCCATGGCGGGTTTCTTTAATATCTATAGTTTATATTTCTGAAAAACAGTTAAATACAAGAGTTTGTTTATAGAGGTAATTTCATGAGTATCTCACAGTACCTAAGTTCCTTATTTTTAGTCTAACAGCCAGTATCAGCATGTTTTTGGGAAATTTCAAAATTTACTATTTTTGTGATACCGTATTTCAGAGTTCCTTGACTCCTTAGAAGTGGAAACCCAATTATCTCGAATCAAGTGATTTAAGTAGTCAGTTCCAAAGTCTCCTAATTCCTATAACTTATATAAAACCAAAAACAAACAAGCTCTGTCAAAATCAATGTTAACTAGAAAGAACTTTGTCGTATGATTGATTCTTTATAGAAAATGCGAAATAACTAGAAAATAGTTAAAAAGAGATATAGTTAAAGTCATAGACAATCGGTGTAGAATTAAATTATGTATCACACCACAGAATAATATATAGGGTATCGTATTTGAAAAAAAAAATGTTTTGCATCTTTCAAAATAATATAATTGGTTGGTTAAAAATGATTTTTGCGTTTACGATACAGGGGATCACCACAAGTCAAAATGGTTATGGGGCGTATTTTTAAAAATAATGTAAATAATAATCTTTCAACATTTTTAAAGTAATCAAGATAAAATATTAAGTATAGGCCAAACCTGGAGAAATCTACCATAAAAATTTCTCAGCACTCGAAAAATGAAACAATATGCCGGGCGTGCAATTTAAAGTTAGGGAGTTTTGGGCCTCTGAGATACTTATGAAGTACTATATATAATAACATCTATTTTCTCATGCTTAACAACTTTTGCATTTAATATCTTCTGCATAAGTAAGTGTTAATTACCAGCATTTTCCCTTCCTATTTATACGCGCAACCTAAATAGTAGCGGCTAAGACTGTCAGGTTCTACCACTGCACACAAAGAAATAAACGAACAAAATAAATAAGAAATAAAAGTTCAGATTTTCACGAAATTATATATTATGACATGACAATTGTTTCGACAACACCGTGTCTTTATCAATTTTTTTTTCCATTTTTGTTATCAAATTTGATAATTGTCGAAACAATTGTCATGTCATAATATCTGAAAATCTGAACTTTTAGTTCTTATTTATTTTGATAAATGGATTTTCATCAAGTAAAAGCCACCTCAGTTCAAATAAACGAACATTTCCGAAACGGACTTTACGCGTCGGTATTTTTATTTTCAAGTTAGGTACCTTTCCTGCAGTTGCAAACGAAGTCGTGTTTCTTAGCCACGCAACTTTCCGCATTGTTTTCCTTTTCCGACGGGCATAAACATGCCGAACAATTTTCGGATTGGTCTTTGTAATACCCGATGTCGCACAGTTCGCAATATGCTCCTGCGGTATGGTCCGAGCAGTTCTGAAAACGCGACGATTTGTTTGTCAAAATTATCGTTCATTTTGAACTTTTTGGAACTTTGCCATACGATAAATCATAGAAAAGCATGATCAAAGTTGCCAAACTTATTAAATAGACTAGTTCGATTTTATTGACTATTTTTTGTGAGGAATTTCATCGAGTTTAAAATAATCTCCTACGATAAAAAATACTGTATTTTATTACCGTTTAAAGGGTAAGTTTGACTACATTTTTTCCACTCAAATCCACAAACAAATCATTTTTTCATTCAGGAGCTCTTATGCTCATAAACTCATAAATGTCAAATTTTTAATTTTGAAACGACTCGATGTTTCTGATAAAAAATCATTTTTCTAGACAAGAACAATTTATTCTGATAATTTTTTTTATAATGCTTTTATAACGCCTGAAATTTAAAGTGTCTATGAAAAATAGTTCAGTCCTGACATTTTGACGAGTTAACAAAGGAAATATCTTTCACTGTCTAACATAGAAATGTATGTTTTAATAGAAATCGCGTTATTTTTGTACAAGATAGAAGAAATAAATAAAAAAAAATAATAGAGAGATTTTCTTGACGAAAGAAGTAAATTAAATCATACCAATCTGTTATGTTAGCACTTTTCGGCAATAACAATATGATAAGACAAATATATAACGAGTGTTCCACAAGCTTTTATGGAAGGCCTGTAAACGGGTATAAATGTGCCTTCAGGAAAAGAAAAAATGCTTATAATCGTAAATATTGGAAGCGAAGAGGAAATGCATTTTGAAAAGGTATGCTAACTTTTCAGTTGTGTCATAAGGCAATTACCACGAGGACATGAATTCGGATGTTTTTGAACGCTAGTTTGATGAATGATAAAATATCTTCCTACCGATGCAGAAGTAGTTACGGATGATCCAAGCTGTCACTTACGATTCCAACTTTAACTTGGGGAAAACATAAATTGTCAACTAGTTAATCCGAAAAATATTTCAATTTGAAGATAATTTAATAAAGAAGGAACTATTACAATATGGCAAATGTACACAAATATGAAAGGACTTAAGCTACTGGTTTGTTCAATTCACTGAGACACCAAAGAACTGGCAAAAAGCTGTCCAGCATCTCATTAAATGACAGGAGAAAATGTGGGGTCTTTACTATATCCATCGGACTCTCGACTCGTTAATTGTACCGTTAAGAGAAGACAAGTTTTTTACAATCTGATTTCCGTATAATCTATTTTTGGCATAATTTTTAATAAAAAATAAAGGTACCTAATACTTTGTACTGGGTGTCCACGAATCGTCGACTTTGGGGCCGCTTTCAAGATACAGGATGTTTTTGGAAGGGCCATAACTTTTTAATTTCCTAAGGTAATTTTTTTGTATGCAATACAACAAACAATACAAAATAATATTCTGAATTAAATGATATCACCTCCTGGCGCAGAACTTCAAAATTATATACATAAATTTTGAAAATTTCAATCTGGGGAGTGCTATGGATCAAATGCAGATGTTTTTAAAGTAAAAAAAGACTTAAAAGTCATGGTAAACTACACAAACGAGTATATAACGCACAAAACGTACAAAAACAAATATTGTTATAAAATAAAAAATCTATTTGTGACATTTATGTTATTATATGTTGGAATTATGAATTAAACATCTTGTGTCTTCAAAACAGTTTGTCGAATCAAATTAAAATCTAATAAAATCTCTAAAACATTACACATTATTTTGTTAACATAATTTTTTTTGACGCTTTTCGCACACCATTTTCGGTGTTGGCGAACGGATAACAACAGACAAAACCCATAAATAGAACAAAACGCCGATGGTAAACAATGCAAATGCATTAAATATTCGTTAAGTCACTCTGTAGTCTCTTTTTTTACTCTGGACCTTTCTGAAATAGACTTTAACAACGTGAATTTTTGAAAAATTGGAAAATACGACATGATAAAATGTTATATTGAAAGTAACAGAAATCGACAGACGGCGTCAAGAGGAGATGTCGGATATGTTTACAATAAAGCAGCCGCCAATTTGAGCATTTGTTTCAGAATTAAAGAAACTTGTTAGATGTAGGTTTTAAGTGTTACATAGTTTAATTAATAAAAATTTTAAATAAAAAAATTGCTTTTAATAATTTTATTTTCGTTTATTATTTTAGGGTTGGTAATTATTGTAAACTAGAAGTTAAAGTACTGTGTCCCCTCGCGTCATAGCCAACTTGATTTTGTATGAAAAAAAAAACAATAAAATTTTATCTACAAATTTAGGGCGAGCACAGCGCCCACTATGGTAAATATCATAAATTGCAACTAGCTCTTAAACTATTTAATAAAAATAGGTGTGTGGCACATCCTGCGACAGGAAATTTTAATAGAAAACTGATTTTTTAGAAAAATTGGGGGCATCCAATTTAAAGAAATATAACTTTGTGAGATATCTCGGGAACTAAACGGGTAAATAAACTTAAAAAATGTTTTTTCCCAAAACTCTATTCTTACGATTAAAAAAGTTATAGAGGGCGTTTAAAATCGCACATTTTTGAGAATCACCCTGCAGCTCAAAAATGCCGTGACGTATCACGATGCGGTTTTCGGTTTTCGACTTCTCTCGAAAATCGAGAACGTAACTTTATACTGCAAATACTTAAAGCCATAGAGGCCTCTCGAATTTCGACCACCCTGTACAGTATAATTTCAGTAAAATATATATTCACGTGCCCCCAATAATGCATTATTGTTCGACAACTTACCTTACAATGGCCAGTGTTCGGGTCGCACACAAGCGATCGCTGATTGCATTCGCAGGCTTTCGCGATTCCGATCACGTTGTTGATCCAAAAGGTGTGCGTTAACTCCGGAAGTTCCGGAAAGTGTCTATAATAACCCTTGTTCGGATTCTGACACGACAGACCGGAATATTCCGGCGGACATTCGCACTTTTCTATCGAGTGACTTGTACGATTGTACGGGATGTACGGTTTGGCCGAATCCAGAAGAACTTCTGCTATCCTGCAACAACCGGAAGTTGTAGCGCCAACCTTCACCCATACGTTCCGCTTACTCCATGTTTTGCCCCTGGATGATAATCGACGTCACGTTTTGCAGGATTAGCATGAAACAATCTCTAGACAATGCGTGTTGGCAGGCCGGCAATATATCGCCGGATGTGACGGACCAGTACTGTTCGCTGATCCTCAGCTCGCTGGAGCTGATTTCGGATCTCAGCGAAATTTGATTTCCGGTCAAAAATACGCTGAATTTGCCGCCGGTTCCTTTTACGGTTAGGTAGCCGCCGTAGGAGTTGGTGACATCGCCAACGAATTGTCTCGGCAAGCTTATGGTGTCGGAACTTATCTGGGGATAATAAAAGAAGACGCAACTCAATACATTTCGGCCGACCTAAAGATGGTAAGGCACTTTTTTATCCATTAGGTCCATAAAGTTTTCTGGTGACACGTTGCGGGTCGGGTGAGTCAGAAATGGGCATGTGATGAATATAATGCTTCAACATGGACTTTTTCAAAAAAACAATACTCGATCATTTCTGACAAGATTTTGTTAAACACTCTTAAGCCTGCACTTTAATCTGTCGTTATTTTTTTATGTTTATATTTAAAAAAAGTTGGAACAATCTATACATTTCCATCATCTATACGATAATAAATAATATATTTGTAATGTTGTAATGTAAAAAATTGTGAATTTTGTTCACATAATATTTTAAAATAACTTATTTTTATTTCATTTTTATCAAAAAAGGCGTTAAGTGTATGGAGATAGCTGAGGTACATCAATTTTATAGTATTTGTGGCCCCTATATTACTTAATATTATTTAATTAGCAATAAATATTTTTATTGAAAACTTTCATTTAGAAACAGTAATTAAAAATCAAGTGTTCTTTCCAAATAAACATTTATCGCCGAAACCAATAAAAACATTTTACAACATTTTCCAGAATTTAGCTGTCGACAATAAATACCTGAACTATTTCTGATCTACATTTAGAAAAGAAAAGCACAAAGTATCACGATAGGGAACATTTTCTTTTAATTTTCTTACCGGCTCGTTGTTTTCGATTTCCTTCTCGAACCTAATCTTGTCCCAGTTGTATCTAGTATCGACACACTTGTCGCTTCTACCGAAACAGAAGCAATCCGTGCAACCCCTAGGGTTGTCTTTCGCAAGGCCGAACGTGCTGTTCTTGCACGAGCCGCATTTGGTTCCCCGTACGTTTTCCTTAAAAAATGTGCTCGCAAAATACTTAGCTGAACGTTAAGACCGCTTACCTTGCAATTGCAGCTGCCATCTTCGTTGCACGCACAAGTGCTGTTCGTGCAATCGGCTTCGCGGGTACCGTGGAGATTGCACATGCACTGCCTGCAATTAGGATAGCCGAAATAACCCAAGGAACACCTGTCGCACTTGTCACCCTCGTAGCCAGGCTTGCAGAGACATCTACCGTGAGTTTTCTCGCACTGATGCGTTGAACTGCCGGTCGTAGAACAATTGCAATGCTGTAAATTTAAAAAACCATAATTTTATTAGATATTATAACGCATGTAATGACACATTACACATTTTCACTGATTGATGCGTAAGATACAAATTAGTATAGGACAGCGGAGTTTCTGTTGATGAACATACTTTAGTTTTTATAATAACCTGGTAAATTTTTTAAAATCATATTTGTATATGAGAATACATCGAGTTGTTGTGACTACTCCAATTACTATTATGCAACGTCAGGTGTTACGCGGGGTTCCAATCTTGGTCCATTGCTTTCTCTTTTGGTTATTGATTGGGTTACTTTAATTTATGATTTAATAATACTTTTATATGCTGGCATTCGAAAACTTTATACTATAATTAAACAGTACACTGACTGTATAAAACTTAGGAAAGCCTTACAGAGAACGGGACTATAAAAAATTAATTAAATTTTAAAACTGACGAATGTTTTGTGCGTAGCTGTACTAGAAAGAGGCAACAAGTTGATTTTAAATATTAAATTGGGGGAACAGTGTTGGCTGGAGTTGTGCAGATGTTGGTGTAACCTTTGATATAATAAAATGTATGGATTTATCATGGAAAAATGTAAGGATTTTAATTTAATACGTCGTAAAACATTGTATTACCGTGAAACTGGTGTGTACTAAATGTACATACCAAAGATAGGCATTATGGAATCATACAATCTTCATTCTCCACAAAATAGAAGAAATGTTTCTGCAGTATTTTTGTTGTACAAATTTATAAATAATATGATTAATGCTACCGTATTATTAGATCAAATTAATATTCATGCTCCGGCGTGTATAAAACGAAATTTCCTAAACTTTTACGTCGACAATACCCATACTGACTATTATAGTAATTCACCAATTATTGTAAGGTTAAAATTGTGTAATCAAATCCGCTCACAGTGTGATGTATGGCATGTATCGTCAGTTAGTAAGCTTAAATCTAAAATATTTGAAATATAGAATTAATAAAAATAATTCCTATATTGCTGACCATATAAAGCCTGAGTCGCGATTATTTGGTTGTTTGGATTTATCGAAGATTTGATGTAATGGCCGTTCATGTTCCTTTATTCTAGTTAATACTTGGTATCTCGAACGGAATTTTGTGTTTGACGGATCGAAGATGTTGAGAAGTTTATGGACAAGTGGTAAATGTGGTTTTAACTTTATATTTCTTAAGAACTTTTAATATGTGGTCAGTGGTATTTTGAATGTAAGGAAGGGCGACAGTGGCAAGCGTTGGATTGCTTTCAGACTGGGTTCAGTGACTCTCTTGTTTACAGAGTTTTACAACTCTGTAAACAAGAGAGTTGACAACCAATGTTTTTTGGATCGGATGGTGATGGATGGTATCGGTCTGTGTGCGTACGTTTTCTTTGAACAGAATGACCCAATGTTAGGTCTGATTTTCTATTAATAAGAATATCTAATAATGTGTGTATAGAAAAAGAGAAAATCTTGGAGGCAATCTTGACTATTCTGACACTTTCTTCTCAAAAGTTTCCATAAATATATGCAATGATTGATAATGAATTGAATTTAACCGATACGAGAAAAACATGTTCCAGAAAGCATTTTTCAATTAAGATCAGAAAGTTTGATTCCACTTACAAATCTTCTGGATTCCTCTTGCATCGGTTGTTTATAAATAAAACTTGCTGACTTTTCGCCAAGCATCCTGTTGGAAATAAGTAATATTTATAAACAACCGATGCAGCAGGAATCCAGAAAATTTGTAGATAATATTACAGTAGTCTGTGGAGGTTCATTAATTTGATTTAATATATCTGAAATAATGTTGAGAGTTTCAAGACCAGAAACTTTATTAAACAGGGACTCTACGTCAAAACTAACCAGAATATCGTTTTTAATTGTTGAAAATTTAAAGACTACTCCAGATTTAAGTAATACTAAAATTAAAAAATAACAATTTGTGACATTTTCTTTATGAATCTACACAATAATAAAGATTTAGAGAGATGTACTGCCTAGTACCTAGTACCTAGTACTGTGTAGTACCTAGTAACTTACCTTACATCCAATTCCAGGTTCGAAACCCCAAGAATTGAGAGCGCATCTTTCACACTCCTTTCCGATGGTCAAGTCCGGACATACGCAACGTCCACCCTTGCCACATACGTGTCCCCTTTTTGTGCACGGCTCGCATTCTACGAATATAATAAGAATTATTGAACTTCATTAATCACAAAATAATACATACAAAAATTATATATATATATATATATATATATATATATATATATATATATATATATATATATATATATATATATGTTGTAAATTCTTGTTCTCTCTCTCTCTCTCTCACTATATATATATATATATATATATATATATATATATATATATATATATATATATATATATATATATATATATATATATATATATATATATATATATATATCAATTGGTTAAGCCTAGCTTGGACTACTCACTCTCAACATATTACTACAAAAGACTATTTAAAAATACTTTGTAGTAACTATTTTCTATCAGTCACTAAATTAAGGAATTATGCAAAAAAAAGAGCACAATTAGGAATAATAATACAAGATGACACAATTAACCAAAAAAATCGGCCGTTAGAGGTATGCAAAATTCATTTTTATTCCTTGAAGGAATAACGTGAATTGTCGTGAATTGTTTCTTATTTTCTGTTTTCTTTTCTTGTATATGGGTTTACTATGATGCCTAAAAATGTTGACTTGGCCTAGGCCTATTTTAACGACGAAATTGGTTATTTGCTGTTATTGATTTTGCCATTTGAGAAGCGTTTTATTTCTAAATATTAATCAAATAGTTAAACTGAAAACTCTGCTTGAAATAACGTGATTGGTCGGAACGAAATGATTGAAATAGGTTCTATCGAAATATAAATGTTTCTTTATGTTGTCTTGTGGTATGTTTTTTATGCACCTAACTGAAACTTGTTCCAAATTTATAACCATATAATACAAACTCCAAAGCTTAAGCTTAATATTTTCACAATGAAAAAACTTAGACAAATTTAGAGTGAAAATAAATTGTAGGTTAAATATCAAGACCCAATATGAAACGGCTATAGTGCTTTTTATCTTAGGACTACAAATTCATAGAAAGAAAATCGTGCTCAAAAGAAGCAAAAGATAAAAATACAAAGATTTAACAAGAAAAACTTTGAAGCTAAAAATATTATAAAAACTTATAAAAAAAAAGAAACTAAAGTAGTTTTAAAAACATTGCATTATTATATATCGCCAGGTCTGCGACCCTTTAGAGGGGTCCCTTTAGAGGTACGACCAAATCATTTGCATTCATGGTCAGAATATCATGAATTAATATGTCTTATATATATTATGTTATATTATATACACTACTACCCGAAAGAATTATTAATTAAAAAAATTTATTTTCATCAAAAACTTTCGATCCAGACCCGACAAGCTTGCGACAAAAACATCAAATTTGAAACGTACACTTTGAGATTTTTGACATTTCAAATTTGAACCCCGAATTTTGTTGTCTGTTGTTATTGACATTGGCTGCAACCAAATCATCAAATCATATATGGGAACTAAACTATCCATACATGTTTCTTTATGCTCGACTCATTTTATGAGTGAATTGCCTTGTCTTCTTTATACTCCTAATCATTTTCATTTACATGAGAAAAACTTTGGGGGCTAAAAACTTCGCTCAAATTTCCAACCATATAATACAAACTCCAAGGCTTATGCTTAATATTTTCACAATAAAAAACTTCCTATAGACAAATTTAAAGTGAAAATGTAGGTAAAATATCAAGACAATATGAAACGGCTATAGTACTTTTTCACACATTCATAATAGGGCAAGGAAGCAAGCAGATAATAACGTTATTATTAAAAAATGAAACAAAAATATTTTTGCATTGCATTTTCCAAGCATGAAATAATGTGATTGGTTGGAACTATCGCCACAAACATGGAAACTAAACCATGCAAAAATATTTCTTTAAGTTCGACTCATTTCTTGTCTCGTTTATGTACCCGAGTATTTGCTTCTGCATGAGAATAAATGGGGAGCTAAAAAGTTTTCTCAAATGTATAACCATACAAAACAAACTCACCAGCTTATGCTTAATATTTTCATAATTACCTTTTCAAATGTAGTTTTAAGAACAGTACAGTGAAAATTACAGGTAAAACATCAAGGCATATGAAACGGATTTGTCTCTTAGACCTACAAATTCATAAAAGGAAAATTGTACTGGAAAGAAGCAAAAAAAAGGCTTTAAAGACGTAAATATTCTAAAGTCATAAATATTCAAAAGAAGAAACAAAAATATATATATATTTTTAAATCGCAAGTGTCCTGTTAAACACATTTTTACTGAATCTCAACGAGCGAGCTGAGTGGAACTTTTAGACATATTCTAGCAAGATCGAACTATTATAGTGTCCCGGATATGGTTGCATAATGCGAATAATGGAGGGGGGAGGCTTAAACCTCGTCGCTCTATCGCCCAATTAAAATCGACGTCGCGATCCATCACGTCGACAGCTGAAAACCGTCGTCGACGTTTCGTTCATTTACTTCGTCGATCATAATTTATGGTCCGACTAAACCTAATGGCATCGGGAGATCTGGGTGCCGACGAGATGTCTCGCCATTTTTTCTGGACCGCGACGACGACTGACAACCTCCTACTGTTCCCCCCGTAGGTATCGCAGAAGTGTAAGTATCATTACATGACATTTGCACGAAGCTTCGAATTGCGGGAACGCGGGGAATTTGTCGAGTACCCAATTGGAAATACCCACCCAAGTTGTCGATTATAAGTTATAACCACAGTCACTATTTGAATAGAAAAATTCAAAATATTGCGGGACAATATCCTAACAGATTGAAAACGAAAAAAATTGCTTTTCTACTTCCTTATGTAAAATATCTAATTATAAACCGATGTAGTGTGCGGAAAGCGTCACTTTACCACTTGAGTATTGCGTTCCACGGATCCGAGCCACTTCAGACGTTTCCGGGATATTACCGCACGGGTTTGCGAGCAATCGGATGTTTTCGGACATTTTATCGCACGGCTTGAATTTTGAAGTTTGTCAATTCTGACGTTCAAGTCAGTGAATGTATAGTTTTGCGAAAACGTACCCAAGAACTAACGGTCGCTCTGCTGCATTCCGCCGTACCCAATAAACTCGTGAGTCAAATGCCGTTTACCGCACTAGCATAATGTACTATTTTGTACTCCCTTCTGTAAAATACCTAATTATATGTCGATCTAGTGTACGAAAAGCGTCACTTTACCACGTCGGTTTCGTTTCCAATGAACCCGAGCCACTTCGGACATTTCCGGGATTTGACCACACGCTTTTGAGAGCAATCGGATGTTTTCGGAGATTGTACCGCACGGCTTGAATTTTGACGTTTGTCAATTCTGACGGCCGTGTTAGCGAATTTATTCGTGTTGTTTTGAAAAAGTATGGAAACACGTTTATTAATCATTCGCTCTGCTGCGCTCTGCTCGTGCCAAATAAACTCGTGACTTAAATGCCGTTTAATGCAATTGTTGCATAATATACTATTTCTATTGGCTTTTCTGAAATACCTAATTATATACTGATCTAGTGTGCGGCTAGCTATAGCTGCGAATCGTTTCGGAGAATTCCGGAATATTACCGCACAGATTTGGGAGCAATCGAATATTTTCGGAGATGTTTCTGACAGTCATATCGGTGTTATTTTGCAAAAATGGGCCCAAAAAGTCATGGTCGTAGAAAATAGTATAATATGCAACAAGTGCGGTAAACGGCAGTTGACTTACGAGTTTATTTGACACGAGCGGAGCGCCACGGAGCGAGTGTTTAATAAAAGAGTGACTTAAAAAGTTTAGCGAACGTGTTGCATACTATACTTTTTCTACGACCGTTAGTTTTTGGGTACATTTTCGCAAAACAACACAAATACATTCACTGACATGACCACGAGATTTGACAAACGTCAAAATTCAAAGCAAGGAAAATATATCCGAAAACATCCGAAGGAAACTGACGTGAAAAAGTGACGCTCCCCGCGCGCTAGATCGGTGTCTAATTAGGTATTTTACAGATGAAAGTAGAAAAAGTATAGTATGCACAAAGTTGGGTAAATTTTTTAAGTCTCTGGTTTATTAAGCACTGGCACAAATGCCGTTTACCACACTTTTCGCATAATTTACTATTTTTTGCTTTAAATTGAACTCAGCATTTTTCTTGTACAATTAGTAGAATATTCAGCTTTATATTTTCGAATTTCACTTTCGGTGAAAATTCTGTTGTTGTGTCGGAGAACGAAGATGATCTTTAAGTTCAATAAAACAGCCAAACAATTTATTATAGTTATATCAGATGCAGACTTTTGGTTGAGGACAAAATAATACAACAGGAAATGAAATTCAAATATTTAGGAATTGATATATCTGGATGCGGATACGTTGAGGTAGAAGTATGGAACTAGGCTACAAGAGCATAGGTGAGCAGCAGAAACTATCAGGTCGAGTTTCTCCTTGAAAACAAAAAGAATATTAGAGACCACGGAAATGAAAACAGTTAGAAGGATAGCAGGAAAATCACTCATGGATAGGGAAAGAAGTGATGATATTAGGAGGGTGTGCGGGGTAGATAACATCAACGACTGGGTGTTATATCGAAAGATAAAATGGTATGAAAACATTGATTGTATGGCAGGAACGAATAGTGGAAGACCTAGGAAAAGATGGCGCGAAAACCTCCCAAATGACTGAATGATGGCAAAGATGTGAAGAAAAACAAGCAATCATGCCCATATGCAGTAGAACTTAAACGAAATTTTGAACGGCACTCCATTTTAGAGAAATTGTTTAGGATTGTTTAGAATTTTGAATTGACAATAAAAAATTCGATTTTTAAAATTAATTTGACTTGTTATTTCAAAAACTTAAAAATATTTTTAGAAACTATTTTCAGATATTCCTGGTATAAAGCGAAACCAAAAAAAAAAGATCAATTAAAACAAATAAAGTTTCTTTAGCTGCATTTTTTATTTAGATAATTTGTATGGATTTTGAAGACGCTTACAACAGGCATTGAAAAAGCGACAACATAGCCATCGCCAAAAATATGTTATATTGTTCTCGCTTATGATCAAATTTTCATTAAATTTTCATTTCCCATTTTTCCCAATTTTCGTTCATCATAAACATCTAAAGTTTGTGAAAAAAAAGGATAATAACTATATTAACAGAGAGCTTACCTATACAACCAGTTTGGACATTTCCATAATAATTGGGCAAACAGACGTCACAGAGAAACCCGGAAATTCCGGGGTGGCAGTTGCATTTTCCGGTTTCTTGGTCGCAAAAACTATCCTTGGACCCGTACTCGTTGCAGTGACATTTGACGCAGTCCTGCTTCGCGTTTTTCCAATATCCCGGCTACATGTAAAGAAACGAGATTATAAAGGCCTCTTTCTCTCAAAATCTTAAAATCAGGTCACGTTGCGTCGCGGTTATGCGCTTATTATGAGAAGCAAAATTGATAAAACCTGATATGAGCTGCTGCCAGGTATCCAGTATATTTTAATCTTGTTTAAGACAGTTTATGGAGGATAACATTTATCACAACAAGATGGAAGACCGTTTTTGAAACAACCATATTTCAATTTTAAAGTGAAATAAATCAGACCGTTTGCAATGTTCCTGAAAATGGGCTGCGATCGAGAATTTTTGTGGGAACACTAACAGAACAGAACATAGTAAAAGATTTGCAGCCTTACGTTAAAAAGATGTCAAAGAAGAAAAACTTAAAGGAATAGTAAATTTTGGATAGTGCTTCCAGTATGGGCAACGAAATACGGTCGAAAAGTCCAATAATTCCAAAAAATTCCTAAAAATGCATCTCAATTTTTTTATGCCTAGCTAAAATATAGAACTAACTTAACTAAGTTTAATTTTATGAAGCATTTCCAGTCTAGAAGTTGCTATTAATGTCCAATTCTCCTGAATTTACTAAATACAAGCGTAATTTATTATTTATCGTATCAAATCTTTAGCATTTTGGTATTTATCTTTATTAAGTTTTATACAATACCCTCGAACCGCACAAAATTACCAAGTACACATGATGATGTTGATGTGTACACCTTTTCAATTAATTTATTATGATCACTTACGATTTCGAAAAAAAATTGGTTTTGTTGACTAACCAAAACGAAACAATGGTTGAAGACTAATTACTTATACTAATTATTTAGGTAGTAAAATGTGTATTGAAATAATCATTATTTTTCTGCCTAGCCATTGAATAATGATCAACAATTAACAAACTAGTAAAAAAGGTATGCAATCAAGAGACTTTCGCAAGCAACACATAACGATATGATAGATGTGTAGCGTTTGGTGAGATAAAGCAAAATTTGTTTTAGAAATAAATTATTTTTTTTACTTAAATACGCCAACCGCTAATAAAATCAATTAGTTTCCAACAACTGATTAGTCACCTAGTTAGTGATGATGTAAAAATTATTGATAATAGAAAATATTTGTAAATGTCAAAGTAATGTCAGTTACAGTGTAATTTTGTGCTCTTCAAAGGTATTGTGAAAAAGTAATACGATTTTTGCTTTGATTTTAAATATCATTTGGTATCCCAAATAGTAAGATTATTTTAGTTGGTAAATTCGGGATAATTAGCCATTCATTTTAATTTTTAAAATGAAAATTTTTAGCAAAATTCAATATTTAGGTTACGATAAAGATATTGAGATGCGGTTTGCACTAGGCTCTCATTTGTTCTATTTAATGATGTGAAAAGGTCATATCATTGCATTTAATTACATTTTAAGCCCTTCCGTTTCCCCAATACCGTATTTTGTTGCCCATACCTCCACTATAACTGACTTATAATTAATTTTGTTTGGTATATATGCCGCTCAGTTTTGCGCAAAAAAACTGCGGCAGTTAAAATTGCATCTTCTAAAACTGGACTGGAAAGACGTACAAGCCCCAGAGGGCTTCCGTAATCTCTTTTAGAGCTTTCCCTTAGTCTCTCGAAACGCGTGCGTATTCTCGGAAGAAAATGGAAGCGACCTACCTTGCACACGCTGCACGTTCGTCCCTCATAATGCGATTTGCAAATGCAGTTTCCCGTTATTGGATCGCAAGACGAGTATTTCGAACCATTTAAGTCGCAGTTGCACGCTGTAACAAAATACGTTACGACATGAGTTCGTGATTTTCTAAATGCGAAAACGCAAATACCATTGTCCCGTCGATCTATTATGGTAAAATATCAATAAAGTTTTTGGTTACCCTCGTATAGAAGTTTCGAAATGGCACCTAAGCAGTTGCAATGACATACTTTATTGTCCCTTCGGACTTTTCATTCGCAAACCTCACTAGCTTCACATAAACAAACTATTACGTAGCATGAAGAATAATAATAGCAAAAAGAATCTTTTTTTTCATTATTTTTCTTTTCTCTCATTCGCGTTCTCTTTCTGTTCTCTTTTTTATTCAGTTTCTCCCACTCTCGCAATGTACGTTAGATACTTTGCTTCCCTTGTCTGTACTTTCTCTTTATTCATTTCCACACACAAACCTGTGCATCAAGTTGCTCTCCTCCATGCTTTCCCTATTATGGTACTTGCGGATTCTTTATGCTTTACGTTAAATTTATTATTTTAAAATTGAATAATGCTTGTGTGTGACTTCTTGATGATGGCGTATTCAAACTATGGCGACAGTCTCCATAATAGTTGGATAAATACAAAAACACTGTATACAAAAAAGCAGCATTGTTTGCATGCCAAATTAATTTAAAAATTGCACTATATCTTTATAACAAAATCAGTTTTAAAATTAATGTCCACATGCTCAATAGTAGACACAAAAAATATTAGTGTTATTGTTGATTAATGATCCCATTTAACTTTTTGAATGTTCAGTATTTGTTTTTCTTTATAATCAATATTACACAATACATAATTTATCGAAATATTGAAGTTATATGTTGGGGCCTAGTTAATAGGTCAATCCCAACTGAACAGGCAGCTAAGGAACATTTTCCAGGCCGAAGATTTTTTTTCTGAAGCTTTCTATCTGCTATATAACATCCAGACATGTCTATTTGATATCTGTGTAGGAATGTTTACACAACCCCACACAGATTATCGCATCACTTGCAATTTAAAAAAAAAAAGTTTTTGCCCCGCTGAATTCTTTTTATATAGTAATTTAGATCTTGTGGGAATATTTTGAAATGTGGTAGACAAAAAGTGATGCAAAAAATAAAGCACGTGTACCTGATTGAAACGAACCTTTAATACTCCAAAAATTCCATTAAAATTAAAAAGAAAAACATACAAATTAAGCCAAAGTAAACTGTTTAATTTCATGTATTGTCTCCATGTCTCAATATGCTTCAGGAGCCCCTCAACAAGACTTTCAATGTGGTTCTTGGCAGTTTTTTCCATATTCAAAAAAGTATATTTTAAAATTTGTCAAACATGGCTTCTTGCTGGTCAATTCACAACAGGAATATATAATTGTTCATAAAAATGAACCTGTCTAAATAAGGCCCAAAAGAGAGTACGTGAGCTTCAAAAACCTGTCATGTCCCGATCAGCGGTTAATTTGTCCTCGTTTACAGACCATAGTTGAGTCACCACCAAAACTCTCCCTCTGAATAAAATGAATACACAGGCATACATCTCATCTGTAAAGAGGGCAATTAACAATTCTTCGAGATTCCAATTTGCATGGTCCCTGCCAAACTGCCAAATTATAACCCTGCAACACGGTGTCCCCTAGTTAATCGCGGACCATTTGTGGATACCATAGGACCATTATTTTCTCGGAGACTATATCTTACAGTTTGGAATGAAATGTTATCAGTTTGAGCTTCCCAGAGTTCAGGTTGCAGCATCCTCGCTGGACAATGCCGCTACCTTAGATGTAAAATGTAAAAAATTATTATCAGCACGAGATTTAATGTGGTGGTGAGCTTGTTCTTCCTTTCTAGTGTACTGTCTTGTTTCTGTGTACCAATCTATAACTCCAGAGATGGTACTTTGCTGGACATTCAGCAAATTTGCCTTTGGCTTCGGCCCTCCTCAACAAGAACAACTTCAGTTTCAGCAGTTAAATGTCGCGTAAGGCGATATGGCTTTCATAGCTTAAATTGAAATATGGACAGTTAACATAACAAGTTAACAATAAAAAAACGCTTGTTTTTATTTCTTCTCACTTTTTTATTGTTTACAAATATTTTTTACATATTTAATAAAAAATAAAAACCATCTATAGGAAATTTTTGTTCAAAATTGACGCAAAAGGATTGGGAGAAATAATTTTGCGTTTCATGGTCACGCTTTTGGTAGTACACAATTTTTAAACACTTTTACCGAAAATCTAATAGCGTTTTTAGTGAATTTGACAAACGGCAGAGTGGTACGTTCCGTTTTATATTGCGTCCGCTGACCGACATAAACGGGGCAAATTTATTCATTGAACTGACGATCGATCCGCGCAAATTAATTGACACGAGGAGTGACATTTAAAATTCTTCTGAACTTTTATAGTTCCATTAAAATACAGGTTGGTCGCGCGGGTTTTTCCAAAAAGGCCAACTGAAAGTCTCCTTTAATTACTTAATTTATTTGTTTAAGTTATACATCATATGCCCTGCTCATGCATATTAAGGTTTCGCATTAAATTGCCTTCGCCGGTGTTGCGTATTTTATGGTCATCGCTTCGCTGAAGAAATATAGATAAATGCGTTTATATTGAAACGTTTGCAGAAGAGTCGCGGTTATAGATTATATATTCTGGTTTAAATTAAATGCTCGCACTAAGTAATTATTTCTTATGTACAGGGTGTTTCATAACTGAACGTGAATGGTTCAAGATTTCTGTGTATATTTTAAGAAAATAACGTATGCGCTTTTTTGATTTTGTATTGATGGCAAAGGGAGTGATAAAATAATGACAGATTCACTTTTGGTTGTTATTTATTCGCTACGTTTTTTTCTTTTTAAAAGCCTTCTTTTTCCCACAGTTATATTTTCTAACTGACATGGTCGGTCAGTTCAAATTTATTAGTATTAATATTCAATGTACAGTTAAAAAACAAGAAGAGTAACGAGGTTGAAAAAGCATTGTAACTATTATTTTTATTGTGAAGCAGATATCAGGGTGTATAAAAAAGAGATTGTTTTAAAAAACACCTATGCTGTCATGTGTAGAGAAATTTGCCTTTTATAATTTTTATAAAAAATACCAATTGTGAATTTAGAATTTCTTCTCTTCTTTATATCATAAAAAATATTTTTGCATATATCGACTGAATAAAAATGTATAACAGTGTAATATGAAAAAGGTTATTAAACATATAGGGTATTTGAGATTTAGGGCAATCAAGCTCGTGGAAAGAGTTAAGAAGAATGTAATATTTTATCAATCTGCAATATGCCTATAAGCCTATAGCCTAAAAATAACAAATTCACTAAAATTATTGCACTAAATCACTAAACTAAAACTAAAACTATCCCAAAAGTATTTAAAAGTATAGAATTTCAAGAGTGAAGGGAACTATCGTTTTAAAACGATCACAATTTCCAACTCAAGTAACATGTTTTTAATATAAAATTAATATCCTGTGTGATTGCTTATTGCTAAATTTAATAAAAACAATAAACAAAGATAAACTACCTCTAATGAAAATATAAATGCTATATAATGTAATGTAATATGATATGATATGATATGATGATCATTGAGACTTATGGGCTGTGAACAGCTGAAAGATTACTTTAAAACAAATCAATTAATTTTTTTTAATGTCCAATCTGGCATTTCGAAGTGAACATTCTTGTGATTCGCGGTTGTAGAACACTTGTTTGAATCGGGAAGATTAATATGGGTCGATCTTAAACGTGCCTGTGAAGCAATAGATATTGGCACAATATGGTATACGAGGTGGTGCATTAACCTGAATTTTGTGACTACTTGCGTGAAAGATGTTGAGAATGTGAGAGTTTGTGGTAAAGTGTCCCATAGGAAAAAAAGTCTATTAAATCTACCCCTTCTTGGGCCACTTTTGTATGTTTTATATATTAACAAGTTCTACAGATTTTTAAAGAAATGTTGTTAATTATTAAATTATTGGCAAGGTGATAATCTCAAATCCGCATCTGGTGATTATTCACTGATAATGAATATCTTAAGATATTCAATTGGTCAAAATAGATTGAAATTAAATTCATCAAAAAGCAAGTGTATATTTTTAAGTGATTCACCTAGTTAATATGTGTCTAAAACTTGGAACTGTTCTAGACTCACAATGAAATTTATTTAGTCACAAGGAGTATTTTTGTAGAAAGTTAGGGAAGAGATTGTTTTTTTGGTAGAGTGTCTTAAACTAATATTTTTCCCCATTTTGTATACTATTTTTCATTATTGATTGCTAGTAATCGTGAGTCGATCGAATTGATTAAGTATTGGAAATTGGAAAAACTTAATCCCAGATGCTTACATTTATATTTAAGGAAGCGCATTTAAGTGTATACTTATAATTTAAGATAGCTATTTTAACGTTTGTTTAACGAGCGACCTGATGATATTAAGAGTGCTCCTAATGTACATATATTTTGTAAAAAATGTACGTAATCATAGTTGTTTATGACCCACAAATAAATTTTGCTAGTCATAAGGAGTATAGAAAGTTTGTTTTTTTTGGCAGAGTGTTTTATTACATTTTTGAGTGGAATCAACAAGAATGGAAGAAAACATGATTAGCAAAGATGAAGGGAAAAAGTTACAAGGAAGACCACAAAAAAGTTAGCAAGATGGTGGGTCGTGTGAATCCTTAATTAAACGAAACGCTACTCGGGAAACACAAATCTTGGAGGAAGAAGGAGAAGAATGTATTAATTAAACGTCTGTTATTATTGTTATTGATATTGAAACAGAAAAATCTCTCTTTCTATGGGATACTAAATTTGCATTTTGATATACTTAGCCGCACTTATTATATCGTTATTCTTTAAAACTAGTTGCAATATGTGTTTTATATTTTATGATTGATTTTACACAATATCGCTATTTGGTTAGTTAATTAAAAATTACTCCATGCGCGTTTTTTTTATGCTTCAAAATCAATACTAAGAAATTCCAGAACGTAAATTTCAAACGATATCTAA